AAAGAAATTGTATAAGAAATAATTTATCTGAGCTGAGCTGGGAACTTTTGAATGGTGAATATCGAGATTAATGCTTGATCCACTCTTTTTCTTAATCTCGAGATTTAATAACGCTTGTTCTAATCTTGTTATAAATCTCTAGATTATTTAACCGATCGAGATTAAGAATATCCCATTCTAAAGTTTTCAGCCTTGGAACTTTTAAATGGGATATCCTTAATCCCGATCGGTTCATTAATTTGGATATTAATAACAAGAGGAGAACAAGCCTTGTTTATTTTATGATTAAGAAAAAGAGGATATCATGCATTGATCTTGATATCCGTAATTCTAAAGTTTTCAGCTCCGAGCTGGGAACTTTTGAATGGTGGATATCGGGATTCATACTTGATCTCCTCTTTTTTCTTAATCTCCTGATTAAATAAAGCGTGTTTCTTTCTTGTTATTAATCTCCAGATTAATTAACCGATCGGAATTAAGGATATCCCATTTAAAAGTTCCCAGCTCTGATCTGATAACATCTTACTATGATTAGAAATGTGTTGTCAAAACATTTTTTGATTTCGACTTGAAACAAAATGAATTGATTTTTACGCTCACTTTAACAAATACACACATAACCTTACTCATACTTTTAGTTCCGGATTCACACATCTGAATAAAAAACTAACACCTACACCATGTGTTATGTTTTGAAATCAATACAACAGAAGATAAGGTCGAAATCAAAGCTAAAAGTGCGAAAAATGTTTGATTCAGTTGTGATTTAGAAGAGCTAGCATAAGGGCAAAAAGGATTAGAATTGGAAATAAAAGATAGCCTTAAACTCTATTTGTTTTATACGAACATCTTACATAAACTTTAGCAGTGGTTAGCTCTAAACTTCAGCGGCTCACATGAAACTTTTATTTCTGAGTTCTATAGTTTAGACTTTTTCAGATCTACGCCATTAGGTTGTAAATATATAATGATTTAAATTTAAGTAATCAATTCATTTGGTGCAGATGCCTCTTTATAAAAAAAATTTAGATTTACTTAGAATTTGGTTTAGATTTTAATCATTCATATCTCCAGTAATTTTAAAAGCTCGAGAAACGCATACAAATTCTAGAAATGACAGGACAAGGGTTATTTTGTAATTATTGTTTTGTTGCAAATATTTCTATGATTAGGTTTTCAAATGAATACCACAAACTTTGTTCCTAGCTCAAAGACGACTTTCAACTCTTCTATTAATAGTAGAGAAACTAACTATGTTCTTTTAAAGAATTTAACTTTTTTCTTTTCACCCTTCATTTATCTAAATGTGCATCCTTTAAAAAAAAACCATAAGAACTTTGCTTGTTTAGGTTATAATTAGAAAAGATGAATTTCTTGCTGAAAATCGTAGTGCTTCTCGCCACTTCATTTATCCCAGCAGCTTTGGGTTGGTATATTTTCGCTATGTTATGTGCTAAAAATATACTTGTTATAATATATTTTCACTATGTTATGTGCTAAAAATATACATGTTATAATATATTTTCACTATGTTATGTGCTAAAAATATACATGTTATAATATATTTTTGCTCAATAAAAATTACTTTGCAAAGTCGACAAAATACATTGCATTTTTGGAAGGGGTGAAAGTTTAATAAAAATATTTATTATTTTTGGGTTAAAGGGTTAGAGGATTAGAGGGTTAGAGGGTTAGAGGGTTAGTGGGTTATAGGGTTAGAGGGTTAGAGGGTTAGAGGGTCACTTTAAATAAAGCTAAATAAGGTATTAGTGCATGCAAAGTGCAGGCCCGATTATAGAACGGTTTCATTCTTTGAGTGAGTCAAAATTATAGAGATGTTCTTATTATTGTATAATTATAGAGATATGTTCTTCTTATTGTATAATTATGGAGATATGTTCTTGTTATTGTATAATTATAGATATATGTTCTTGTTATTGTATAATTATAGAGAGATGTTCTTGTTATTGTATAATTATAGATATATGTTCTTGTTATTGTATAATTATAGAGAGATGTTCTTATTATTGTATAATTATAGAGATATGTTCTTCTTATTGTATAATTATAGAGATATGTTCTTGTTATTGTATAATTATAGATATATGTTCTTGTTATTGTATAATTATAGAGATATGTTCTTGTTATTTTGTAATTATAGAGATGTGTTCTTGTTTTTGTATAATTATAGATATATGTTCTTGTTATTGTGTAATTATAGAGATGTTCTTGTTATTGTATAATTATAGAGATATGTTCTTGTTATTGTATAATTATAGAGATGTTCTTGTTATTGTATAAATGTAAAGTGTTCACAAAATAGGCAGTAAAAAATAGACTTTTGTTGAGATTTGAAAAAACGACGATATCTTCCGCATTGTAAATTAAATAAGTGTTAAAAGAAATACAGTTAGGAATCGGGCAGGGAACTCTTTTAATAGAAAGCAACTTGAAACTTAAAGAACAGTCTCTTCACGTGGATTTAACGGTTCTGTTAATATTTCAGAAAACTGTGACTTTCGATCACAATTTGACCCCTTTTACATAATTTTATAGCCTTTTATCTTAATATTTTTTGTTGGCATATACATTCTAAATGAAAAAGTATAAATAATCAAATCTGTAAGGCTTATGACTGTTGAGTTATAGATGAAAACACGTTTGATTCCAAATAAAAGAAACCGAATGCTTCTCTCTCTCGTTAGTTCAGGATGCCTTTAATATCTCCTGCTTAGGAGTGACGACCTGCACCAACCTGGGGAATCCAATTCCTGAGTGTATTGTTTCAAACAGCTCATTAATTCTCCCAGGTGAAAACTAACAGACTAACGGACAAACCTACTAAATAACAGACTAACGGACAAACTTACTAAGTAAGAGACTAACGGACAACCTAACTAAATAACAGACTAACGGACAAACTAACTAAATAAATGACTAACGGACAAACTAACTAAATAACAGACTAACGGACAAACTAACTAAATAACAGACTAACGGATAAACTAACTAAATAACAGACTAACGGACAAACTAACTAAATAACAGACTAACGGACAAACTAACTAAATAACAGACTAACGGACAAACTAACTAAATAACAGACTAACGGACAAACTAACTAAATAACAGACTAACGGACAAACTAACTAAATAACAGACTAACGGACAAACTAACTAAATAACAGACTAACGGACAAACTAACTAAATAACAGACTAACGGACAAACTAACTAAATAACAGACTAACGGACAAACTAACTAAATAACAGACTAACGGACAAACTAACTAAATAACAGACTAACGGACAAACTAACTAAATAACAGACTAACGGACAAACTAACTAAATAACAGACTAACGGACAAACTAACTAAATAACAGACTAACGGACAAACTAACTAAATAACAGACTAACGGACAAACTAACTAAATAACAGACTAACGGACAAACTAACTAAATAACAGACTAAAGGACAAACTAACTAAATAACAGACTAACGGACAAACTAACTAAATAACAGACTAACGGACAAACTAACTAAATAACAGACTAAAGGACAAACTAACTAAATAACAGACTAAAGGACAAACTAACTAAATAACAGACTAAAGGACAAACTAACTAAATAACAGACTAAAGGATAAACTAACTTAATAACAGACTAACAAAATTACAAAGAAATTTACAGTCAAACTTTCAAACTATAAAAGTAAGAAATTGACAAACTGACAAACTAACACATATTTATAATATCTATAATATTATATTATAGTATTGACAAACTGACAAACTAACACATATTTATAATATCTATAATATTATATTATAGTATTGACAAACTGACAAACTAACACATATTTATAATATCTATAATATTATATTATAGTATTGACAAACTGACAAACTAACACATATTTATAATATCTATAATATTATATTATAGTATTGACAAACTGACAAACTAACACATATTTATAATATCTATAATATTATATTATAGTATTAACAAACTGACAAACTAATACATATTTATAATATTTATAATATTATATTATAATATTTGTTTAGATAAACATGTATAGGTGAATATATAAATGATAATGTTTGTTGTTTAGATAAATATGTAAATGATAACATTTGTTGTTAAGATAAATATGTAAATGATAATATTCGTTGTTTAGATAAATATGTAAATGATAATATTTGTTGTTTAGATAAATATGTAAATGATAATATTTGTTGTTTAGATGAATATGTAAATGATAATATTTGTTGTTTAGATAAATATGTAAATGATAATGTTTGTTGTTTAGATGAATATGTAAATGATAATATTTGTTGTTTAGATAAATATGTAAATGATAATATTTGTTGTTAAGATAAATATGTAAATGATGGTGAAGACATTACAATTGTTCTTGTTACTCAGGTAAAAGCACATTTTCAATCATTTTCAATTTTCAAATGTTTAAAATCACATTTAAAATTTTGGTTTGAATAAAGGTGGCATTAATTATGTAGCACATTTGTGGGCTGGTTCTTTAGATTTGTTTCTTTAATAATTTTATATTGACTGTTAAATATTAGACAAATTTGTAAACAATTTTAAACTGTATTTATAAATGATATAGGCAAAAATAATGAAAGACATAGAAGTGAATTTGTACAACGGTCGGGATGAAACTGTTGACAAATTTTGTGATATTCCAATCGAAAGGTAAACATTATAAAAATTACAAAAAAATGTTAAAATAAATTTAAGACCTAATCAAAAAAAATTCTGTTTAAATTTTACTATCATTGCCCTTGAGATTGATTTTTAGATGTAATTTTACTGATTGTTTAGAAAAATAGACAAATCTTCTTCTTCTTAAATTTTTTTTTTTGACTTATGCAATGTAAACAAAATACTTTTTACCACAAACAAAAAAAATCATGAAACCGTTTGGAAGTATAGAGGCATTACACATCATGAAAGGTAATAGTATAAATATCACATTATGAAAGGTAAAAGTAGAAATTTCTTACATTATGAAAGGTAAGAATAGAAATATCTCACAGTATGAAAGGTAATAGTTAACATATCACATTATGAAAGGTAGCAGTAGTATCTCACATTATGAAAGGAAAAATTATAAATATCTTATATTATGAAAGGTAAGAATAGAAATATCTCACATTATGAAAGGTAATAGTATAAATATCACATTATGAAAGGTAGCAGTAGTAGTATCTCACATTGTGAAAGGTTTAAGTGAAAATATCTCACATTATGTAAGATGATATTAAAAAATGTCACATAATAAAAATATCTTAAATTATGTAAGATAATATTAAAAAATGTCACATAATGAAAGATAAAAGTAGCAATTTCTTAACCCTAATCTAGAAATTGATGCAAAACGAACTTTTTGTTATAAATAACATTTTTTAATGTGCGCGCATCTAAATATGTACAATGGAAGAAATGTGTCCTGTATTTATATTTGATTCAAACGTTATCCTTTACTTTTTTCTTCATTTTTTTCACAATCTGTTTTTGTTCGTAAAAAATGGCATCGTTTGTTATACTTTTTGTTCGTTCACCCAATCGGATTCGTAAAGTAAGTAAATCAGAACCAATAGAGTAATATCTATGATATTCCACTTTTTTAGTTTTGACCCTGAGCTTAGAAATTTAACACTTAAACTTTTAATAAATAGGTATCGGCTTATCGTATACCTGAGCTGAAAACTATAGAATGGGATATCCTTAATCCCGATATCCACCATTCAAAAGTTCCCAGTTCTGGCAAGATTTGATCAAGATCTATTTCAGTGGCAGCATTGACATTCAGAAGATTTTCTTCTCCAATGAATCTGTGGCAAAGGCGATATCCTTTGATTATCCTGATTTCACCGTAGCAGTTCCTCCCGCAAACCTTTCAATATCAGGCCTTGATGTAAGTTTATTTTTAAGTTATGCATTTTCAAACATTTTTAATTTTAACTAAACCTTGAAGTATTGTCATTTTTATTGTATTGCCTGATAAATATAGGTTCTCTTCTTTTATACAGGATAACCCACAAAGGATGAGACTTCAGAGACGATTGTACAAAATTTATATTGTCCGATTTCTTAGATTTCTGTTTCTTTCTTTGCAAAATTATTAAGTATGCCATTAAGACTAAATTTCAGAGAGACATTAACCTTGGAATTGACATATTTTAAGATTTTCAGGTCGTCTTTACAGTCTCATCCTTTGTGGGTAACCCTGTAGGTCAAACTACATTTTAAATCAGAAATATTTCTATAGAAGTTTGGTTTTGGGACTCACAAATAGATCCTATAAATATTTGAATTATTTGACCTGTTTGTATTTTAGAGTGAAATGTCCTACAACCCTGATCAAGAAACTACTAGGATTGTAAGTTGTATTGCGGCTTATACTAGACCTCTTCCAGTCTTCCACTGGTCAATAGGTTAGACATCCACGATTCACAACGGTACTCAATAAACTTTTCCTTAAAGGGAGTGTTCGCGAAAAATAAAAGGGGGTATAGGCTTCCAGCGAAAAATAAGCGCTTTAGATCTCTACCAATCTTAATTCTATCTGTTGCGTCTATCAGGAGAAAATGGTTAAAAACGTCTCATACCGAAGAACGAAGCGTCCATACAAATTCAGAAAGTTGCAACATTCAACTCTGATCGTTAAAAATCAATTTATTTCCGAACAAATCATTCAGAGATTACAACCAATAATCATCTATTATTTTTCGACGCATTAGTATATAGCTGATATTTCACAATATTTTTGATTTTCTATGATCTAGGGGTTACTTTTGAAAACATTTATTCCTGTTTCGAGGATTTTTGATAATGAAGACGAAATTTTCATATTTTTCAGGTGTGCTGGAAAATCCAGCGCCAGTGAAATATTATTTTAAAAAACAAAATCAAAAATGTTATGAAATATAAACTATATACGAATGCGACGAAAAATAATCGATGACTATTGGTTTTAATATCTGAATGATTTGTTTGGAATTAAATTGATTATTTTACGATCCAAATTAAATGTTGCAACTTTCAGAATTTGTACGAAATCTTCGTTCTTCGGCATGAGTCATTTTTAACAATTTTCTCCTTACAGACGTAACTCATTGAAGTAAGATTAGTAGCGATAAAAAGCGCTTATTTTTTGCCGTAAGTCTATACCCCCTTTCATTTTTCGCGAACACTCCCTTTTAAAATGCATATCTAATAAATAGTTGTTTCTTCCTAAAAAGTTAATATAATTTAACATTGCTTAATAAAATTACGCAAAAAAAATATTCTCCCAAGTTTATTTTTGTTTTGTTATAACCTAATATATTATGTTAAAAAAAATTTTGCACAGTGCAATAAAGGAAAACTTTGAAACATGAAAACCATTTGAGATTTTTTTATAAGTCAACATCTTAATGCTTTATTTTTTTTTAGAGGACCACTATCTGAACCTAAATATGACCGTCCTACAACAAACTAAAACTGAAGTCATCTTTCCCAAGAATTCCTATCCCGCAGGTATATTCCTATCCCGCAGGTATATTCCTATCCCGCAGGTATATTCCTATCCTGCAGGTATATTCCTATCCGCAGGTGTATTCCTATCCCGCAAGTATATTCCTATCCCGCAGGTATATTCCTATCCTGCAGGTATATTCCTATCCCGTAGGTATATTCCTATCCCGCAGGTATATTCCTGCAGGTATATTCCTATCCTGCAGGTATATTCCTATCCCGCAGGTATATTCCTATCCCGCAGGTATATTCCTATCCCGCAAGTATATTCCTATCCCGCAGGTAGTTTTTTCCTGTATTTCTTCAGCACAGATGGTCAAAAGAGATTCTCACTGTGATGAAAGGAATTGAGTCTTTGCCACAAGTTATAATTTATCATTCCCTGCATCTTTGCAAACTATGAATTCATTTAGATCAAGAAAACTAAATATCAAAGGTTTACACCATCAGGTTACAGTGATAGAGGAATTAATAATTTTGAGTTTGTGGCAATAACTCAGTTCTCTTTGTTCTCTTTATGTGCAAAAAATTGATAGATTATTCTTTTATCAAATAAAACTATTCTGCCCTGATCAAAATCTGTCAACTATTTCAACCATTTTTCTAAAGTAAATAATTATTTATTACAAAATTAAATATTGTTTTATACTATGTACAAATTGTACATGAACATCTTTCTATTAACTATCGCTTAGAACTGCCAATTTTAAAAGTTTTGAATATATGAATTATCAATAAAATTACAGATTTTATTGTAGAATAGTCCTATTTTTGTAATAGGTACAATTTAAAAAAAAAATATCATTATCTTCATTATTAAAATTTTACTCAGGAAAAGCCTGGATAGTGACCCAACCTATAAGATTCACAGTGAATCCTCAATACGATGGCAAGGAACTTCTTTGTACAGGTAAATCTATATAAATGTATATCGGAAACCCATCCATGCATAACCTGATACATTGTCTTGAATGCATTATTGTTCAAACTAAATTTTAGAATAAACAAAAAATGGTTACTAGGGATATGTAATTTTCAATTTATGTCAATCGGAAATGCCCCTCCATACACTTTTCTGTTTATTTTCATTTCTACAATTTTATGTACCCTCTCTTTTTGTTTTTAAAATAGCTTTCTCTGTTTGTTTATTTGTTCGGTGGAACCAAGGAAATCTTTTTAGCTTGGTTTATAAAGTGGATTGACTTTTATATAGAACAACTAATATTTTTGATTTGATACAATTTTATTGAAAAATGGGTAAACTGGTTTTAAAAATCCTAACTTAAAGAGACATTTCATATTCTGGTTGATAAAAATGGCTCCAGTCAGAATTGATGGGTCAAATAGCCCGTTTACTGAAGAGTAGAAAATCTGGATTATCTTGGAATATGGAAAACTTTGAAATGCGGACACCCAGACAAGCAAAGTATATTTAGAGATGCGCGAAATTTTTTTTGAAAAACCGCGTACCTTTTTTGTTGTTTTATATTGTACAGATAAAGCCACAATCAAAAGTCAAAATAGAGGATGGGTGCGCCCTAAAATTGACTAGTTTACATGTATTGCCATAAAAAAATACCGTGGTGAGAATGTATATCAATACAAAATGGTTACTATAAAAGTGGTCTGTGTACCAATGAATGATTAGGTACTGAAATTGTATTATATCACCATTACAGTCTGTATTGATATATATATATGCTGACCTCGGTAAACAAAATTCAAAAATCAAACAAATAAAATGTATTATGAAATAATTTTCAAAATAAATAAATAAAGTTAATAAATATTTAAATTAGAAAATAAATCTGTTTCATACTTGTCCTTTATATTGTATTGTTTTTAGTTGAGCACATGGGGTACAACGCGTCTGTAACAGAGGAGGAGAGAACAGTCGGTGCATTCATGACTGTTAAAGGTACAGTACAGTACAATACAGTACAGTGAAAAAAACTATGAAACAGTACAATGCAATGTAATAAAATGCAATAGAGTACAAACCAGAACAATGCAGTACAGTACAATACAATACAATACAATACAATACAGTACAATACAATACAATACAATACAATACAATACAATACAATACAATACAATACAATACAATACAATACAATACAATACAATACAATAATATATATATATATATATAAATATTAAATAAAATGCATTGAAGTATGTTATTTCTTAAAAAAAATTAGACAATAAAACCACAATATAACATGACATTAAATAACAATTGTACAAAACAAACGAATACATGGACACGTATTGGAATTGGATCTTTCTTTTCAAATTATGGTTTATGTTGAACACAAATCTTAAACATTTATTTAGGACCCCCGATACCAGCAGAAGATACTTTGAATATACAGGGTGATTTTATTATGGGAGAACCTGCCACCCTGTATATACCTTTCCACGCTTATCCAGTTCCTACAAAGTAAGTTTGTATATGATTATGAAAGGAAGTGTAAGGATAATTTCAAGTGACCTTCCATTTATAGAGAGGCGAGTCCGATTCACACTGGTACCCATTAAACCTTTGCCCGGACAACAGTGAGGTGGATACCCTCATTTATATATATCTGAAGACTGGAGGTTACAGTGTACACTGTACACTCCGTGCCAGTGTACACTCGCGCGGTTTCTTTCATGTCCCTTTTTATTTCCCGCTATATAAATAAGAATATCTATGAAATCAAGAATCCTTGATCAAACTAAGGTTTCAAGGGTATTGTTGTAAATCGGAGCTTTCCCTCTATAAGTGAAAGGTCACTTAAAATTACGCTTACAGCCCCTTTAAGGTATTTGATCTTGAACTTTTATGTTTGAAGAGGGTTACACACAAACGAAGATATAGAATACGTATTTAATACTAGGGTTTTAGCGGAATAACAAAATCTTTGTATTTCGCCGCAGAGTTTTTTGTTGAATCACGGGAATTAAATTTTTAAGATTTCCATTGTTATACAAAAAAAAATATACAAATGACTTAGACATAACAATTTCGTTCTTTAGGATGGTCTTCTACCTTGCAGATATGGATATGCCTTTGACCGTTGGCCAGGGAGCAGTAAATACCACCGAGGCGGGTAGATACAGTACAGAGGGATGGGTGCAGCAGGTAAGAAAAAATCCACCAATGTAAACGGAAATCCTCAAAAAATGTTTAGTTTTATTATTTTAGTACGAATCGACAGTGGCAATTTGAAAAGCAACATTCAAAAGCTAAATAAAACAATGACTTTTATATTTTCTACCCACCCCCTCATCGAGAAAAAAATATAAAAAATGAAAGAAATCAAATTTGTTTAAATGTATTTTAGGATGTTTCTATTGTTAGTCGCAATTTGTCAAACTTTGTTTTTGTGATTTACAGTGAAACCCTTAATAACGAATACATCGGAAGAATTTATGAAATGTCGTCTTGACAATTTCTCAATGAGTTTTATACTATATTACGTAAATTTCAGTATTTGCAAAAATAAATAAATAGCCATGAATATGCTGGAACAGTTTTAAAGAATTCCATATAATCAATTAATTAAAAAACTAAATATCTGCAACATTCCATTATCAGAATTAGTGAAGAATACGACATTTGATGAATTCTTTCAATGTATTCGCTATTAAGGGTTTCATTGTAGCAGAATGCATTTGTTTAAAATATTTAATTTGATCAGGTTACAAAGATATGAGTACTTAAGAAAACTGTGAATTTGTGAATTCTTATAGTATTAAATTTAACTAAAATCTTAGAGCTGAATACTTGGCTTGGAAACCAAATATTTAGATCAAAAGGAGAATTTTAATCAAAAATGAATTTGTTCAAATCCAATATTTCAACAATAAATACCGTCAAAACCAGTATAATGCAGAATGAAAGACGGCTTTAAAAAGTTTTTCAATCATAAACTTAATAATTAGCAATTTTAAATATGATCTGTTAACATTGCGCAATTGCTGTGTTTCACGTTTATTTTTCTAATTATAACTTGAGTCTATTTTTCGTTTTTCTATCTATTTTTTGTGTCTCACTGTACAAAATAAGGATTTCGGCACATTATGTAAAACATTTTTCTGTCGATCGAAATTGAGGTTAAAACGACTTAGGGTCAAATGACTTAGGGTAAACGACCTACGGTCAAACGACCTAGGGTCAGATGACCTAGAGTCATACGACCTAGTATCAAACGACATTGGTTCAAACGAAAAACGGTCAAAAACGCGACAAAGAGTGAAAACGAAAACAAAATATTTATATATTATTTCAGGATAAGGTTAGATTAAGGCAATATCTGGGCCAAGCGCTGCGGCTACTAGTTCGAATAAACATAAAACTAGTTAAAATGAACCAAAAATAGCTAAATTGAAATTTTGCCCGTTAGTCATATTTTTGGACCATTTTGTCGTCTTAACCTTTGTAGCGTCTTTAACCGCTTGTCGTTTGCCCAAAGGTCGTTTTTACCCTATGTCGTTTGACCCTTTGGCATTTTAACCTAGGTCATTTGACCCTTTATCAGTTTAATCTAATATGATTATTAAATCCTCCTGAATATTGGATCACCCTGTAATTTTGAATATTTCAAGTGAACTAATGGAAGAGGACCGAACTATGATACACACTGTAACTGTTTCAAACCAACTAGGATCAACAAATTATACCTTTGGTGTTCCAACAATAGAAGGTATAGTGCTCCAGAAAATTATGATTTTTTTCGTAATTGATTGATCTATAATTTCATTTTTCCGCAACATTATTTAATAATAAGTAACTTATCTTATCCGAAACCAATCCTATATTTGCCAAGAAAATAGTTGTCACTTATCACAATCTCAAAAATGAACTGTTGTATTAAATCTCGAGTTAAAAATACAGAGTGTCCCACGAAACATGACAGTTGGTGAATAGTATTTAATGTCTTCTTCTGTATATTGCATTATTGTGTAAGACTTTTTGCAGTTTATTTTGTTTAAGAAATATTTTACTCTATACTAAACTATGAATTTTTTACTATAATATGACTTCCATATCATATTTTTCATTATTCTCGTTGGTATCAAACAACTTAACACAAGAAGGAATTTTCGAAAGTTCATTTTTCGGTATAGAAGACGACATTTTGTTTCTATAATTTTATATTACAGATTCTGGTCTAAGTGGAGGAGCTATTGCTGGAATCGTTATTGGCTGTTTAGCCGGGGTCGTTCTCATAGGAGCAGGAGGGGCAATGGTTGTCAAGTGAGTCATAATCAAAAATACATTTTAATTTATAAGTAGAATTAAACATCGATTGTATCTTGTCTGTATCAAAAAAATAAAGGTATTAAATTTGTGTTTTGACAGCTCAGACATGTCGCAAAGTTCTTGATTTTTGGACACCCTACGCCCCCAACATTGTCTTCTAGATCAAAATGTTATGAATTTCATTAAATTTCTGAAGAAATTTCTAAAAAACCCTTGATAGAGTGTTTTACTTGAAGTCATTTAGTTTTTTGAGTGAAACACATTCCAACTATTTTCCACGAAACTGTGTTGAAATATTTTTTTCAGGAATCAAAAAGCCAAGAAGAGCAAGAAAATCAAACAGCAGGAGAAGAAGAGAAGGAAGGAAGAGGTGACCAAAAAAAATAGAAAAAAATGGCAAAATTGAATTTTTTTTAAGTAATAGAAAATTACATAGTTGTAAAATATTATGAAAGGTTGGATTGGACTTCAAATAGTTCTATCAAATATTTCTATCAAATAGTTCTATCAAATAGTTCTATCAGATAGTTCTATCAAATAGTTCTATCAAATAGTTCTATCAAATAGTTCTATCAAATAGAAATAAAATTAAATTGGAAAATTTGATTTGTTTAATTTATAAATAGTTTGAAATAGTTTATTCAAACAAAAACTTTTTGCAATTGATGTTTAACAAAACTCAATCGTTTTCCTTTTTTTCAAAATACATTTTGATAAAATAGATTTTAACATTAATCAATTAAAAGGATCCTAGACGAAATATATTTGACCTTTTATTTAAAGATTACAACAATTTAGTTTTTGCCACAAACTCAAATTTTCTAATCCCTATATCTTTGCAACCAAATGGTGCAAACATAAGTCTTTTTATCATAGTTTGAAAAACTGATTTCTGTAATAAAATTTGTTTAGAACAGAGCTAGAAATGACAACCCTGTTTTTGATGATATCAACCTGGAATCGAACCGAGATTAAAGAACACATAATCAAGATTTATTTCAGAGTATTGGAACTCAGAATTTATAATCTTGATTTTGCAAAATTTAAATCTTTAAAATTTAACCATGCTGTAATGAAATTATGTTGTAGTTTTTTAAATATTGGAATTTATAACAGAATAAATTATCTAAAGTAGAATAAAAAAGAGTAATACTAGAATTGTATCCCCCCCCCCCCCCGCCCCCAACTTTAGTCTACGGATTCTATATAACTATGAACTGTATGTTTAAGATTGATACGACGCAATTTAATAAATTGGTTTCATAAACTTTTATATTTAACAATTTATCAGTGAACCCTCAACCTAACACCTCAACAGAAGGGAAGAAAAGTTATGCACAGTGCTTTAAGATTAGAAAACTATTTTTATTGTACACCACAGTGCTTTAACCATCAACAAACGGGGCGTTAATGATTGTGTATATAACAACACAGTCTCATATTACAGTCTCATTTAAATGCACAATGATTTAATTTATAAAAAGACGGTATGTGAATCACGCCAAGCTAAAGTAAATTGTACGGTATGTGAATCACGCCAACCTAAAGTAAATTGGACGGTATGTGAATCTCGCCAACTTAAGGTAAATTGGACGGTATGTGAATCACGCCATCCTAAAGTAAATTGGATGTAAGATTTAAATCTGTTCTGTTTTAATCATTACGAGTATTACTCTTATTTCAAAACTAGAGGAGCTACAATGCCATAAAATTGTACCAGTAATGTCATATAGTTTTACCTTCTTCTTTAATCTACATAAAAGAAGGCGTGTAAAAATGCTTCAAAGTTCAAAATATTTCAGAGGTGTACGCATCTTTTGTACTGCATGCAGTGTACTGTCATTGGGCGGTAAGGTAATGTAAACACAAGACGGACGTCGAACCTGACATGGGATTCATCTTTTACATAATAATCAATGAAATATTCTGGTCATAGGAAACTTTTATGTGAATTATCAAAATTATAAAAATTTAATACTTTTAACCTCCTCGGATAATAAACGAACACTAATGCATCTATTCTTGTTTACAAATTTCCCCCAGAGAGAACTGGTTTCAATTTGTACGCAGAGTATGTGCAACTGCAATTAATAATTAATGCATTATAACCTTAATTTTTGTCATGTATTTGAATATTTGCAGACAATATAAATATCTTCATTAATACCTATCAAAAACATAAATATCTATCTATCCATCTATATTTCTATCTTTCTATCTATCTATCTATCTATCTTCAAATAAAAGGTGTCATGAAAGAAACATCAAATGGAAGTCTGGGGGTGAAAAGTATGGGAGGCTTTCAGACGAAATATTTTTAAAATAGAAATTTAGAACATTCAATTTGGAATTGAATTTCGCTAATCAGGGATAGGCATAACTTTTAATTTGTTTTTAAACCTTAATTTTTTTTTAAGTTTTTGACTTTCTTGTGAATTAGCATGTGCAACATTTGTACTTCGGTCAGAAATACGATTCTTAAAAATCAACATTTTTGCATTACATAATAAAAGCAAACTTACCGACAATACTATTCTGTTATAACTATATCTAGAATTTGAGAATACTATTCTGTTATAACTATATCTTAAATTGGAGAATACTATTCTGTTATAACTATATCTTAAATTTGAGAATACTATTCTGTTATAACTATATCTTAAATTTAAGAATACTATTCTGTCATAACTATATCTTAAATTTGAGAATACTATTCTGTTATAACTATACCTAAAATTTAAGAATACTATTCTGTCATAACTATATCTAGAATTTAAGCCTCTTTAAAGTAAAAAAACGATACTAATCCTTACCCTCAATGTGGCATTTTTATGACCTCTAGAAATAAGAATTAACATATTTCATAAAAATTCACACTTTTTTGTTCTTTACAGCTGCTTTTGTTCAAAAAACAAAAATCAAGTTATTTTACATTAATAGAAACTCTCTGCAAATATACTCTTTTCCAGAAGTTTGTTCACGAAGTGAGAAAATTAAGCCTTTCAGGATTGGGACACAAATTTATATTTGACATATTCTAACAATAAATTTTTTTTTGATTTTGTTCAATATGAAAATCAAATATGACAAATCTTTATTTGTATATTCATGAAAACATTGTGATTAAATATAGTACATATATATAATAACAAACTAAAAAGTACATTTATTTAATTACAAACTAAAAAGTACATTTATGTAATTACAAACTAAAAAGTACATTTATGTAATTACAAACTAAAAAGTACATTTATGTAATTACAAACTAAAAAGAACATTTATGTAATTACAAAATAAAAAAGTACATTTATGTAATTACAAACTAAAAAGTGCATTTATGTAATTACAAACTAAAAAGTACATTTATGTAATTAAAAAATAAAAAGTGCATTTATGTAATTACAAACTAAAAAGTACATTTATGTAATTACAAACTAAAAAGTACATTGCTACTTTTTCAAATTCTAATTATTGTTTCATATTGAAAAGTTATAGTATTAGTATAGTATGTAGAGAAGTTTTAGTATGTAGAAAAAATAATACGAAAAAGCATTTTGTTGAAACTTTAAAATAAACAAGAAAGTTTTTTTAAAAATTTTGTCAAGAATCTAAGTAAAGTTTCCCACACTGAACTGAACTAGACAGGAGGATGCGACAGTACTGCTACAACTTTGTGACCTTTCAAAATCTGGATCTCTATCTGAAATTCGATTATTCGTTTTTTTCTTTTGTTTTCCTTTCTATTCTTTAAAACATTTTCCTCAACTCCTTTATAATCTGTTCCTTCTCCTCCACCAATCTTTGCTCTCCTTTAGCTATCTTTATATATACTTTCTTGGCCGTGTCTGTTTTTTATATTCAATATACGTCAAAACAGCTGAACCGATCGGGCCCACATTTTTTGTGGGACCTCGCGTGACCGAAGGGAAGGTTTATAGATGATCGAATTTTCAAATATTTCCTGTAACAAAATTCGATTTTTGAAAATTTTGAAAAATCCACGAAATTTTTTGTTTGTTTTTGCTTCACAATCTATACAAATAGAAAATGTTCACAATTAAAATAGAAGATGGGCTCGAAGCTCCCTGAAAACCCATGGAAAATTTACATTTTTCATTTTAATGTAATATGTATTTATCGCTGAAAAAGTGCCTTCCATTTAAAAACAACCAGAAATGGCCCTGGCTAAAAAGAAATATTTTTGATTATTATATTAAGTTGGATCTCAAAACAAAATATGAAAAGATGACTTTTTTTAACTCATTAAAAAACCTACAAATGTCAGTCAAATTTTTGTTTTTCAAATGACAACTGCATCAAGCTGTATTAAATAATATATTAACCATATCTATTTTTGTCTAATATCGATGGGGGGGGGGGGGTATTTTCAACTACTGCTCATGATCTTGCCCTTAGAGTTGAGATAGGAAAGTGTGATGCATGTCTTCAGTCCAACTTTTCAAGGCCTGCTCATTAAAAATTAGACCTCTAGCTTTAAAGTTCATAAAGTATGTTTAAAAATTTTCTAAATTTTTTTTACTTTAAAAAAAATATTAACATGTGCCACATGTTATTACATCCATTTTTCAAGGGCTTTTTAAAATATATAGACTTTAGCCCTGTAGCTTAAATAATAAAAGAGTTATTAACCATTTCTGATTTTTTTAATTTGTTCTAAAGTACCCCAGACAACAAACGAACCATGTCAGAAAACACAGCCTCCTGGTCGGAAACAGCTCAAGAATCGTAAGCTCTAACTTCTTATCCACAAGTTCACTATTCCTTTATTCTACGATCAGCTACTCTTGGAGCTAATAAATTAAGCCTTAGCTACTCCTTGAGCTAATAAGCTGAACCTCAGCTACTCTTGGAGCTAATAAATTAAACCTTAGCTACTCTTGAGCTAATAAGCTGAACCTCAGCTACTCTTGGAGCTAATAAGTTAAACCTTAGCTACTCCTTGAGCTAATAAGCTGAACCTAAGCTACTCTTGGAGCTAATTATCTAAACCTCAGCTACTCCTGGAACTATAAACTAAACCTTGGCTACGTCTGGAGCTAATAATCTAAGCTTCAACCCTCCAAAAGCTAATCAGCTACACTGCTTGCTACTCCTGGAGATAATCAGATACTCAGATACTTTTTAACCACCGTACACTCCAGTATGTCGAGTCCATTAGCGCCTGATCCAATCATGGTTTAGCCATGTGTTTGTTGTCTATTCTGTTCCAACAGAAATAGTATGTCGGTAACATCTATTTTTCGATCTATCTCATTATCCAATCAGAGTTATGAATCCTTCAATCAGTAATTGGAAATATGTACATCTACTGAAACCATGGTGGTACTTCATATTTAAACTAAAGTATATCATGTAATGCATGTAAACTTCCATATAAAGAAATAAATCATTTCACGAGGAAGTTAAACTTCCAATTAAATAACAGATAATAGAAGAAGTCTGCTTTTGGACGACGGAAATACAGTGCAAGAATTCCTATTATGTCTTTTTTATAGTGTATTTTTAGGTTATAGAGCAAACGGTTTGTTCAGTTATAGAGAAAATAACATATAGAGCAGATGGCATTTATAACAAATGACGTATAGAGCAAATGACGTGATAGAGTAATAGAACTAAAGCTAGTGCATTCGGAAATAGGGCAAATGTCGTAGCGCCGTTAAAAGAATATGGTTCCAAATCAGGAATGTTACTCTTTAGATTGGGGCTCACATATTATAACGCTGAAAGAAAGAAATTTTTAGATTAAAGTTATTTTCTGTAATGTGCTTATCCTGAAGAAAAAAAAATATGAAGAAATAAAAAATTTTCCTTTCCATTTTTTGGAAATTTTGTAATTTTGTAAAATTTGCATTTTTAATTTTGTAATTAAATATTCATAAAATGATTCAATAGTTTTTCGACTCTCATTAACTGTCAAAAAGATATATTCACTGATTCAGAGAGATGTGATCTGTCTGTAAGAGAGTTATTGTAGAATAAGATATGCTTTATTGATTTTTATAAAAACTAATACATGTCTTTATTTTTATTTTTATTTTCTAACAATTAGAAGCAAGTTTAAAGTCAATTAGTATCTAAAAAATTTGTGAATTTTTGTCGTTCCTGTGATTTCTAGAAATTGAACATATTTGATATATATGAAGATGATACTTTGCATTTCCGGTTTCACCATGAAATTGTGATTTGCGGATATATGCAGTAGGAACAAAAGTAAGAGAATAACTGAATTTATTTCTTTTATAGATTAAAAAAACAATTTTTCTCATTTGTACTCAATAAAGGTTTAGTTGTTATATAAGGGCGTATACAGAAATAAATTTAGAGGGCAAGATATATGCGAAGCGCAAAACATTTTTAGGGGGGCTTAAAGCTTCTAGGGGGGAGGGAGGACAACATTTTAACCGTGAATTCAAAATATTCGGCTTCTTGGATACTTTACAGGTACACATGCAGTCCAATAACCTTTCAAGTACTACTTTATCTCTCCTTCAAACAAAACTAGTTGGAAAAAACAGCGAAACAATTTTTTTATACTCTTCACTCTTAGTTTCAGATTTGAAAAGCTTGATAACTCTGAGTTCTAGGGAGGGTCTAGGTGGGAGCACTAACCCCCTTGCCCCCCCCTTCTGTATACGCCCTTGGTTGTGAAGCAGGCATGTAATAAATATGGGGTAACACAATATTCTGTAAACCTTAAGTACATTGTACTTTATTCACTATCTACGTTTATAAACTTCAAATGAATACGTAGCATGATTAGCTTAAATTATGTGATGTAGATAACGATGTAGAAATTGTAATAACGTCTATTATAACTTTAACTTGTAACATATAAACCTCAAATACATTAGTTGATATAGAGACTCCGTACTGATTACAAAAAGAGAGTAATCATGTCCTTGTTCTTAATGAATGAGGTGAAGATCATGTCCTCTTTGAGGCATTGATAGTTCACGGGATTGTAGCCTTGGGGATTGTGTCCTGGTGGAGATATTGATTGATTAATTGCTAGTTTCCTTGTTGACATCAATAGCTAACGAGATTGCGCTCATTGGTAGTGGTGTTGATAAGTCATGGGATTGTAGCCGCGTGGATAATGTCCTGGTTAAGACATTGATTGATTAATTGCTGTAGTGTCCTGGTTGTCATCGATAGCTAACGATATCGCGCCCATTGGTAGTGGCATTGATAAGTCACGGGATTATATCTTTGATAATAAGTTATATTCTAGAATTTTGATTTCTTGACTACTTTGCTTTAGTTCGTACACACACACACAGCATCCCTGGAAAAATGTATTAAAAAAACTAAAAATTAAGGCGTGCGCACGCGTTTGCTGAACTATGAACTGAAGTTAAAAAAGTGAAGAACTGTGAGCATTCTAGTGTAAGTCATTTTTAAGCTTCAATGAAAAAAAGGACAGGGGAAGGGGGGGGGGGGTGTAAAACACTCCACTCTCCCAAATTGTGATTGGGTTTATTGAATTTCAGTGTAAACGTTTATAAAAGTGTCTAGAAATTAGATTTTATTGTTTACTTTGTTTTTCAAAATCCAGGGAAAAGGTAGTCGGCCATTGAATCACATATTTCTACACTTCATTTATTTAAGTCTATTATTTCTGCGTTGTCTTTCTGCTACCTGTCAGGAGGGGGGGGGGGGGGGGGGAATGGGGGGGGGGCAAGAGGGGGGGAAAATATGCGGGGGACCTAGGGAATTTCCCTAAGGAGTATCTATGTACCCTGAATCCTGACAATCACCGGTGTCAATCCAATCCTGGCCTATTGTAGGGCCATAGATACGGCAATACATAGAACATCTTATTGTAGGGCCATAGATACGGCAATACAAAGAACATCTTATTGTAGGGCCATCCATACGGTAATAAATCGACCATCTTATTGTAGGGCTGTTGATACGGCAATAAATAGAACATCTCATTGTGGGTCTATCCATACGGCAATAAATAGAACATCTTATGTAGGGCCATCCGTCGGCAATAAATAGAACATCTTTTAAGATCTAGATATTTATTTTACGTATATCATAGTTACAAGATTGTTAACATGGGTTTGATACAAAAAATATTTTTTTTACATATAATTATAAATCATTATAAATCATTTAAATTAAAATTCAAGCGCTGGTAAAGTAACATTTCGATAGAGAAAAAAGAGAAGAAATGATAGCATTCTTTTATGAAATATGACTGAGAGATAGTATAGGCACAGTGTGTGCTATCTCTTATTGGAAAATTGCTTTAATATGAGCATACACGGTAGCAAGTTTTTACAGTGAAGAAAATTATTGTGAGCCCCACAACGAGGAAAATTGTCCGTTCTTCGTTTTTATTAAGCGAAAATATGTTAATTCGTTACTATCGAGGCTTCATGTGGCAAAAGAGTGAATACATTAATTAAGAAGTACTCGAAAGACCGAAGTGCAATAGATGCGAACATTGTTGGTTCGTCTTAATAATATTGCAACTTCCTTAGCAGGATGTTAGGAGGAACATAAAATTTCAAAAGAACATAAATAAATAGAACATCGAAACGGCAGTTTCAATGGAACATATTTATGTACAGTCATCGATATGGAACTAAATATAATTTTATTGTTAGGCCATCTAGACAGCAACTTAAAAAATATCTTTATTTGGGACATCGATATGGAACTAAAAAGAACATCTTAAGGTATAACCAACAATATGTAACAAAATATAAGATCTTATTGTAAGAACGCCAATTATGAAATTAAATTAAACCTTTATTGTAGGGCCATCAACATGGCACTAAATCAACCATCTTGTGAATCCATCCACTATACTTACACCCTGTAGAAAATAGAACATTTTATTGTATGGCAATCAATATTGAATTAAAAATTAAATCTTACCCAGCAAGAAGAAAGTCTGAAATTGACCTACACGACACAGGGATAGGACTTCCTCAAGACCCACAATTACTCCTTTAGAGGTAGTCATATTTAGACCGGAAAGACGAGGTTCAGGACGCTGTTCATGAACTGGGGTATTAGGTTTTTAATAGCATTTGTTTCTGCAGGGGTCCCTTGTGTGTGTCTGTATTTTTATCCGTGTGTCACCAGTCACATGTGTTTCTCCGACCGTTGTTTTAATTTACGTAATCAGTAAAGTCTGCATGAATAGCCCTGTATTATATAGGATATATCTATCTATTACCTAGATATCTATCTATCTGGCAGATATCTATCTATCTGCAATGTATTGTGTGGGTGGGTGCCAAGGGTCTAAGCTAAGCTAGTATCCACGGGTCAGCTTAACTATAGCAGTCCATCTGCCCGCTTCAAGGTATAAACAACATACTCCTTAATACAGTAGCACAGAATAGAGATTAGATTAGAAGGGAAATAATTCTATCCATCGGTATGAATTGGTTCAGTCCCTTTGAGTCTAAAAACAAGTTCAAAGTGTATAAGTAATGTGAATGCTCACAAAGTATATGAAGTAAATAATAATACAATATGATCCATAAACATATCATTTACAATTTCTTCTTTTTATCAAAGGAATTGAGTCTTTGCCACAAACTCTGATTTACTAATCACTATATCTTAAGAACCAAATGCTGCAGAAATTAGATATTTCAAACTATGAATTCTGTTAGATCAAATAATCTGAGTTTGAAATATCAAAGGTTTACAGCATCGTGTTCTAAAGATATTGAGATTTGAAAATTTGATTTTGTTTCAAAGAATCAATTCCTTTATGCTGAAATGAACTCGGAAATGCATAAAAGGTTGTCAAAGAATTGACTGAGGGAAAATGAAATAATTTTCAAAGAAAAATTTTCTTTAAAAGGATGTTCCGGGGCCCAAAAGGTTATATAGCACAAATGTGTGAAGTACACATGCAGTATGGAAACAATACAACAAAATGGTGGTTTTACACTTTTTTCGAATTAATTCCACTCTAAGGTTTTCTATTCTCTTTGAACCAAAGCGACAATGTTTTAATTTCTAAATTTCTAAACTATTGATTTTAACTTTTACTAAAGATATTAGACTAAGTAAGAAAAAATGCTAATAACCATCCCAAAAACAAAAAATAGGATTGCATTAACAAAACAAAAAAATAAAACTTTAAAGTATTCTTTACTTCATTATATTAATGAACTTTCAGTGCAACTTTAAATGATTTTCAAAATGTTGAATAACTTTTCTTACTATTGCACAGATTTATAAATTAACTAAACAGATTTTCATAATATTTTTACTGATTTTCATTGTAATTGTACTGATTTTCATGATAACTATACAGATTTTCATAATAATAAACTATGCATTCATTTTTAATATTTGTAAATATTTTCATAATAATTGCACAGATTTGTATAAAAACTATAAAGATGTTCATAATAATTGCATAGGATGTGTTAATAATTATACTTATTTTCATGATAACTTTAATTCAGATTTTAATAATAGTTGTACTGATTTTCATAATAATCATACCGATTTTCATAATAGTTATATAGCTTTTCATAATATTTATAATGCTTTTCATAATAATTTTACAGATTTTCATAATAATTATAAATAATTGTACATATTTTCATAATAGTTTTACATATTTTCATAATATTTATACTGCTTTTCATAATATTCTACAGCTTTTAAAGATATATATTTTCATAATCGTTGAAAGCATAATGATAATTTTAAGTAGAGTCTTCAAACTTTTTCTTTTTATTAACCACGTTATTAAACTTATATATTTAATTTATCTTTTACAATAGAATATTTTCTAATTAATATTGAGAAATAGTTATTTTTCTCGCATAAAAAGTTATAAACAAGTAACTAAGTAACTAAGTTATAAACAAGTAACTAAGTAACTAAGTAAATAGTAAAAACAATCTACTAACCTTTATAGTTCCTCTCAACTTCATGCAATATTAAAGCCATTGCATCCATCCTGGTTTTTACTTTTAAATTCTACAATTTTAAAGGTTTTTAGAATTATTTATCATGAAAAAGTTTATAAAAGTAAACTTTAAAAAATATACAAAAACTAAATGTCAAACTTCTCATGTTTCTCTAAATAATGGACCAAGAAGTGAAATNGGGAATGGATTTCACCCACTCCCATGATTTTTTCCCAAGGGTTTAGATGGAGGACTATGTTACATGTCAATCGTCTATTTTTTACAAAGCCTATTTATTTTTGCAAAATTAAAGAGTCCATTCATTACAGTTTCAACTGTCATGCACCCTACCCTAGGCATTTCAAGCATTTCAATCATTAAGTTGAAAAATTGAAAAAGTTTAAGCTTTCCTGTTTAAATCATAAATTTAGAATTGTGGAACCACTCCCTGACGCCTGAATTGATTTGACAAATAATTTTAACAAATTACAAAAAATGCTTTTAGAAAAAATGTGATTTTTTTCTTTGATTTTCATCCAAGCGTGTTCTGATATAACTTCAAAATCTAATTATAACTTACAATTGTGAGAATATTAAATTAACATGGTTTCCTGCAATTTGCAAATAAAATTTAAGACTAAAATAGATTTACTTATTCTTCTGTCCAAATTAATGCAAATGTATCGAGCCATTTAAATGGATTTATAACAGTGCTCTTTAATGTTAAACCTTTATCTGATCAACAGAAAAAGAGAAAAATAATCATGCATGGTAACTCATTTCTTTTTGATCAGACAAAGCCTTTTAGGGTACCGTTGTGAATTGGACATTTAATTTTCAAATTACGCCTACAGACTCTTTCATCCTTTGTCTTTGCGAATTTACGTTTGGTTTGTTGTTCTGAGTAAGCTTAGAGTTCAGAATTTACGTTTGGTTTGTTGTTCTGAGTAAGCTTAGAGTTCAGAATTGTAAAGTTTCCTGTTAATCAGTGACACTGTCTTTATAATATTTCTTATTCTTCTTTGAACTTTCTGAACAATTGTTAAAATCATCTTAATTTCTTTTTTTGCAGACTTGCTAATTAATATTTTATGGGATAAGTAATGTTTTCAAAAATTAAGTAAATAATGTTAAAAATAACAGAAAAATAAAAAATAATAAAAAATGTACAATTACTTTAATTTTCCTCCGCACTTAAAAAGTACCAATCCAATTGTTTCATGATTAAATTAGTAAAATCATGTATAAGTAGATACTGTATTAATTGTAATCGTTTTATTTCTGCATTAACTAGTACCGGCGAGTCTAACTTACCAAGAATATAGTAAATCCAAGGAATTTTATTTGCTAAGATTATGTTGTTTGACTTGTCTGGGTAAACTAGACTGGGCGGTACCAATAATTGCTTTTATAGTATGACTATAATAGTTACTCCCGCTGTTTACCCGAGCTTCGTTGTAAATTACGATTACAGCTATATTTTCCTTAAAGTGGACCCCGTCAACTGAAAATCTCAAAACCAAGCATTTCCAAGGGTCTACCTAGTTTCTGAATCAAAATTTGAGGCAATTCGGTCAAGGAGTTCCTGAGTTATGATCAGACAAACAGAGATAACAACTTTATGTATATAGATAAAAGATATAGATTACCGTAGACCGGCGAACACCAGAAAATGCTTAATAGATTGGACAATGGACATGTTTGAATTAAGACTATTTTTCAGGAATATCCTGTGCTGTTGAAAGGAGGTCAGGATGACGTTCTGGCAGGAGAACTACAGCTTCATCAAGGATGTCTACGACATGCGCCACCAGAAGATGGCCGAGTGGATGGAGAATGTAGAGAAGGTATTTTGTCACCACACTTTAGACTAATACTCAACCACCCACCCTCCCAAATTGGTCAAAAGAAAAACAATTTAAATCTAATAAAAAAGTTACATACTCTCTAAAAAGAGTCACTAATTGGCCGAAAACTCAAAGTTTGAGAACTTCTGTATTCGTCTTTAAATTTTTCAATATTTACAAATCCTATAAGTTTAGTATCGAAATCAGTTTTGGATTAATTCCATCCCTAATCTCAATTGTTTTCCGAGAATTCTAATTTGAGTTCTTGATGGTGTAAAAGATTTAATCCGTGTGCATTGTTAAAAAAATCTTGTCAAATGCTTTCTAGCTCTTTTTGTCCTGTAAAGAAGTGACAAGACATTTAGCTTAATCTGTTAAACTAAAATTGCTGGAATTGCAAAACTTAACTCATCTTGACCAGAGAACAAACTTTTGCATCTGTGCATTAAGCCAGCCTTAGACCGTTTCTTTCCCATTTGTTCTTTCGATCTTAGGCTCTAAATACTTCTTTATTGATTGGATAGTCAACAAGATGGATGAACATCTCTTTCTAAAGTTTGGCGTTCTCTCTGAAAGATATTTTTAAAAAGCATCTTTATATTATTTTTTTTTGTATTTAGGCCATCTCCAGGATTATGGCTGACAAGGTTTACACCTCTGCTGAATTCAAGAGGGAACGTGATAACTTCCATGTAAGTTATATTTGTGATATTTAACTTTTAGTAACATTTAAACTTTAGTAATATTTTAACTATTTGTAACATTTTAACTATTTGTAACATTTTAGCTATTAGTAACATTTTAACAATTAAAAAGGTTAAAAGAATTTGTAATGCTGTAACTATTAGTTTTACATTGTAACAATAACAACATTCTTAGTTTTATTCAAGGAAAATTTATTAGCTTTCATAAATTTTTTCCTCCGACAGTGAATCATTCAATGTGACTTTGTTTCAGGCTTTGTGCAAGGATCTTGAGCGCGCCGAGGTCAAGAAATGGTTGGCTCACATCCTAGAAATCTTGATGGCTGAGAGAGCTAAGGACCAAAGAAATGACGAGATGGGTAAACTTGATAATATTATCAAGAAACATGAGGAGCTTATCCCCACTGTAATGAAGACCCAGGTTATGGTAGATCTGTACTGGAAGTGCTACGCCTATGGTGATGAGTTGAAGCCTCATATTGAGTTTCTTGATGGTATCATGCTTTCATCAACCAGAGACATTGCTCCCTCTTGCGTTGAGAATGTTGATGAGTTGATCGAGAGACAGGAGAAGTCTCTAAACCAACTTGAGACCAAGAGAGGAGTTGTCAAGGAGCTTATTGAGAAGGGAAAAATCATTCTGATGAACCCTGACAAACCCAGGTTCCTTGAAGGACATGTCCAACGTATTGAAGTTGGATGGGATGATACCAAAACCAAGGCTCAAGATAGACTGAAGCTTCTCCAGGAGACCAAGAATGCATGGGTTGGATATGCCGAGAACAATGAGACCATTGCTTCTGAGTTTGAAAAGGCAGAAGAGGAAATCAAAAAAATTAAGAAGAGGTTCAACCTTGTTGCAGCCATGGATGATCTAAGAAAGAGGCAAGATATTTACAACAAAACCAACTCTGTAATTAGTGGACTTTTCAAATCTATTAACGACAACCTCACCTGCATGTCCATCACTCTTCCTGAGGATAAGAAAAAGATTCTGGACAAGGAGGTCAAGGCTGTCTCTGAAAAGCTTGAAGTTGTTGGCCGCCTTGAAGAGAAGGTTAAAAAGGTTGAAGAATTCTGCACCCAGCTCAATTCCTTTGATGTTTCCTTGAAGACCATAAATGACTGGATGGCAACTGCTACCAGAGAATTGGAAGATATCAAGGCCGCTGCTGGAACTATGCTTCCTGAAGATAGAGTTGCCCGTACCATGGATCTGCAAGAAGATATTGCCTCCAAGGTTGAAATCCTGAAGACAAATGCTGCCACTGAACTGGACCTTCTACCCCAGGGAGAAAATGTCCCTAAGGATGCCCAAGACTACAAGGATGAACTCAACAGAATAACCAAGTATGTTACCGACCTCCAAACCCGCACCAAGAAGGAGTGTGATAGCTTCTCTGAGGATGTCAAATACTGGGCTGAGTACAGAACTGGTCTCAAGGAATTCACCCCATGGCTGGTTAAGTCTGAAGCTAACTGCAATGATGGCCTTGCCAAGCCTAGCAACCTTGATGAAGTCAAGGCACTTCATGAGAAGGTCAGCACTTTTGACAAGACCTGCGTGAACTACCTGAAGGTCCTTGAAGCTGCTGAAGCTGCTGCTAAGAAGATGACCACCCATGTTGAAGCAGATGCTGAAGTTGCAGCCCTTAAGGCCAGATACACCAAAGTCAAAGGCCACTCTGACAGCTTTGTTTCTAAGGTTGATACCCTCCTCAAAGAATGGACTCTCCTGGATAACACAGTCACAGAATTGAACACTTGGGTTGCCAAGGACAAGTCTGCCGAAGGAGAGAACCAATTCTCCCTGGAAAAGATGGAATCTACTCTGGGAGAACTCAAGAATATCTTCAAGCAGAAGGAGTCTCTTGTAGAGAACCTGAACATGTAAATGGGTTCCTTTCTCTTACAAAAATGTCCATGATAAAAAGTGTCCTAATCAACCATCAGAATTGGACTAATTCACAAACCTGACTCTTTTCTCCAGATCCCATCCAAACACATGCAGATGGATTTCAAACAAACTGTGATGAAGTTGCCATAAAAAAGCTGATTGAAAAAAAATGGCTGAAATCCTGATGCTCCACAATTACCTCAATCCGTCAGAAGTCAAGAGTTAGGTTTGTCAAAAGAAGATTAAAAGGACACCATTTGAACATCAGAAATCCTATAACATGAAGACGGAACTCATTGTTTTTTTATTGGTCAGTATTGATTCTTGTGGTTTTGTAATAATTATAGATAGATATGTTTTAATGCAATGCATTCTGGAAGATGAACAAATATGTATATAAAATAAATAAATTATAAATAAACACGTTTTTATTTATAAAAGTTCAAAAAACTACAGGAATAATTTCTAGAAACGGAGTCACTTGAAACTAATGATAGTAGTTACTGCACATTTTTACATCATTTAAAGATGTTAACTATGAATTAGTATCAAGTTGTTTGCAATGCTTTTTCCAAAAGTAATATTTCTAGCAAACGTATCTGCAGTGAAAAAGGCTGTTTGAAAGGTAATTGCTTGTGAAAATGTTGGAAAAGTAAACAATTTCCAGTTTTGGAGGATGTCAGCAGTAAAAACTAAACAACTATGTTCTCAGTTCGTTTTAATTAACAAAATAATTAATTAAAATGAATTCCAGAGCATGGAAGGGGAAGAGCGGGGGGGGGGATAGGAGAGGTGTGTGAGGGGGTTTGGAGAGGGAATATCTATGTTTCCAGGCACTACTGCATTTAATAATTTGTAGGAATATTGTATTTCATTCATGAATAATTTCAGGATTTAAAAATTTTTAAAATATACAGTAATTACTATATACATCAAATTAGACCGCGTCAATGGGTCTAAATTACGATTTGGGGGACAAATCAGAAAATTTAAGAAGAACGAATCATTTTGAAAAATAAGATAAGGTTAATAGAATTTTTTTTGCAGAAAATGCTAGATTTTTCGAGTAATATGTGCGTATTTTGGCGTTAAATCTTGGAGATAATTTGATTTTATTAAAGTTTTCAGATATAATTGTGAATCGGCAAGGCTCTTTAAATGCACTACACAGTCCCTACTAATTTTCATCTTTTAGATTTTAAGCTGTTAACCAAACAATCTGTTAAAGAAGATATTTATAATAAAATTCTTTTGGATAATTGAAGAAATGTTAAATGGATTAAATGTATAAACATTTGAATTTAGAAAACCAATTTTCTGTAATCCTTTAAAACATCTTTTTGATCATTCGCAGAAAAAAGGATTTATTCGTTTTTAAACAGAATTTAAGGTTTTAAAGATAAAAATAAACAATTTTTTTTTATTTTTTCTGAATATATTTACATGTAAAACAAGATTGGTAAAATTTACTTTTGAAAATAGTTGAAATGAAAATTATTGGAAAAAGGAACCGACTAGTGACACTGACTAGGGCTGAACAAAGTTCCATTAACGAAACGGAGGTTTTCGAAGATTAACGGAACAGTCCGTTAACGAACAGCAAAAACCGTTAATTTTTAAATCGTTAACTAAACGGATTTGCTGTTAACGATATTTTTAACCGCTAACAAAAAATGTCCGCGCTTTGCACCGTTAACGCTGTTTTGTAATAAACTTTTTAACCTAAGACCAGATTAACAAATAGAAAAAATAGGTTGAACTACGTAGACTTAGTTGAACTACTTACTCTTAATTTGAAGGAGAAGTGGTTTAAATTAGTCTGTGAGTTCAACTACGCCTTTCTGTTCATTAAATTTGGTCCTAGATATTGTGGTTCAATTAAAATTTTAAAACTATGAACTCTACTATCAAATCCTCAAGTTTAAATATTAAGGTTTATATATGTCTATGATCCAACACCACCATGCCCTTCCGTCCCCAACCCCCAGCTCACACTTTAAATATGTCTACAATCGCATTTCGCTGTTTCAGTAACTTTATAAAATGTTTCAAGTTTGCAGAATTGAAAAAGAAGTTTTTTGCATATAAGGAATGAATTGCAGATACTTCTAACAGCACAAAAGGTTGAGATTCAAGCAAAGAAAAAGGAGGGGGGTGGTACACTGCACAATTATTATTTATACTACTTAACAGGGAAGTTAAGGGAATTTTACTTTATCATGGGTTCCCAAGACCAATTTTGCCTACAAATGCTCGGAATGTGATTAGTACGTAAAATTGGTCTTGGGATTCCAAAATAAAGTAAAATTTTCAATTTCCCAAAAAAAGTAGTTGTTTTATGGTCTTTTGAGAGGAAAATGCGCAAATTTTTTAACGAAAACTTTGCAAAGCGGGTCGTTATTTTACTTAATTATCCCTAGGGACGTAAAGTTACTTAACGTCCCTCTGATGGGGGATTCTTAGGTCGGTTATGTTGGTAAAAAGGCGGTTAAAAGCATTATTGCATTAAACGGGAAAATTAAAGTTATTACACTCTGTGCGATATAAATATATATGCTACTGTTAGTATATTGCAATTCACAAAACATGTGATACAGTCTGTTTAATGCTAGCTAATTGCAAAAGTCTCTTGAATGCAACATAAAGTCGCATTCAGTTTCTTTTCTGCATATAGATAATTGGGAAAAGTCTCATTATAAAGTCTCTTTAAAATTAAATATTTGCGTTAGGTTTTTTTTTGGCATAAACTCCCTTTAAAATAATAATTCGCGTATTATATAATTTTAAAACTATACATTGGCATTTATTCTTTTTCATCATAGAATTTCTTAAAAAGTTTAGAAAAGTTTATCTGTTCATTATACTGCATTACTTTCTTGTGTTGAGAATCAAGGGGTTTCTTTTTAAAACAACTGCTGTAGTTTTATAATTGAAATAAAGTTTTAAACAAGTAATTTCTCGGAATGACAATGCAGTAACTTTGTTTATATTATTTAGCTGCAGTTTCTTACAAGTACGCACTTTCAGATTTTTATTTAATAAAATAAATCAAGGTACTTGAGAAGAATAACAGTATGCAGTCAGCTGATGAGATGGTAAAATAAGATACAAAACGAAATTTTTATTAACATTTCATGTACATCAAATAAATTATCCAGTAAGCAAGGAAGCACCTATAGGTGAGGTCATAGGTGAGGTCAACGTGATTGTGTCCTGGATGATTCCCAATTCCTTGGTGATGTCCCAGACGACTCCCAGTTCCGTGGTGATGTCCCAGTTAACTCCCAGTTCCTTGGTGATGCCCAGGTTGGCTCCCAGTCCCATGGTGATGTCCCAGATGACTCCCAGTTCCGTGGTGATGTCCCAGACGACTCCCAGCTCCTTGGTGATGTGCCAGTTAAATCCTAGGATCGTGGTGATGTCCCAGTTAATTCCCAGGACCATGGTGATGTTTCAGATGACTCCCAGTTCCGTGGTGATGTCCCAGACGACTCCCAGTTCCTTGGTGATGCTCCAGTTGGCTCCTAGTCCCATGGTGATGTCCCAGATGACTCCCAGTTGCCTCCTAGTTCCGTTTTGATGTCCCAGATGACTCCCACTTCCGTGATCCAAGAGACTCTCAATTAAGTTGTAAGGTCCCAATAGGGTTCTACCACTTCAATTGTTAGAACCCAGGAGAGTCCCATTTTCGTCGTGAGGTCCCAAGAGACTCCAACTTCCCTGGTGAAGTCCCAGGAAACTTCCGAGTCTTTACTAATGTCCTAGAAAAAGTCTTTATCCAGTTCCAAAAGGACGCAACGGGAAATAGAGCAGAGAAACGAACAACATTAAAAATTGAAGAATTAAATACATTTATGGCCGCGGAGTGCAAAACATTTTTAACACTCAAATAAAATTATTCTGCATCATAATAGACACAATTAATTGTAATAATGCATGTTAAAATAGTAAGCTATTGTAGTCATGAATGTAACAAAACCTAACCATAAATTAGTTTGTATGCAAACGATTACGCTTTCCTAAAATAAAAATTTAGATATTAAAACACCTAGCGGCAAAATAAATCGTCGTTTCAAGTAAATCGCAAACAAGTAAAAAATATTATGAAATATCAACTATTTGGTTGCGTCGAAAAATTATCGTTGATTATAAGTTGTAATATCTCAATAATTTGTCTGGAACTAAATTGATTTTTACGCTCCGAGTCGAATGATGCAACTTCAGGAATTTGTGTAGACGCTACGTTTTTCTGTAAGAGTTGTTTTGAACATTTTTCTTTGTAAAGACGCAACAGGTAGAAGTAAGATTAGCAGCGATCACCATCGATAATTTTTCGACATGATCCAATTGAATACCCCTTTAATTTTTCGACATGATCCAATTGAATACCCCTTTCATTTTTCGACATGATCCAATTGAATACCCCTTTCATTTTTCGACATGATCCAATTGAATACCCCTTTCATTTTTCGACATGATCCAATTGAATACCCCTTTCATTTTTCGACATGATCCAATTGAATACCCCTTTCATTTTTCGACATGATCCAATTGAATACCCCTTTCATTTTTCGACATGATCCAATNCTTTTCGCAACTCCAGCAGCCCAGCAGGAATAGGGTTAACTAAATTCTCTATCCATTTTTGAGAAAGTAATTTTCACAATCAAACCATTTTGCTTTTAGTTTGAAGTACCTTATTTAGTAAACTATACTTACACATACCTTTTAAATCTTCATATTGTCAATTTGAAATACTTGCTTACATAAGTTAACAACCTTTTCTAGAAAAACTATTTTTTTGGTTGTAAATCCCTTGGATCAGAAAACATGAAGGTCAATTATCTCGATAAAAAACACCATGTAAAACTGCAAACATTTTTCTTGCTGTTTAGAAAATTGAAATGAATTTTCAAAAACTAGTTTTATTAAAGCAATGTTTTTGTTAAAACGATAGTTTTTCTAAGGAAATGATTGTATTGTTATTACGTTTTTTCTTTTTCAAAAGTTCAAAATGAATAATTCGTTCGTTTTGACCCACGGGCAGCCGTAGTATACATTTGAATTTCCGAGCCGGGTCAACCTTTCCGGTCCAAGTTTGTACTGTATCTGGCTCTATGGATTAGCCGGTGCAACAAGGCTGACGTGGTCAGACTTTATGCTTTATAAAGGCTGAATTTACTTTTACAAAAGGAGCAGATTTGCGTGGACCCAACCTTTTAGTCTATCGTTTTTAAAAATGATAAACAAACCTAAACATTACTACTTCTCTTTGTAAATTGAAGCAAGGGAACTAAAAAGTGTTCCACAGAAGTTTCTAATGATAAAAAATATGAATTTTGAGATATGCAAAAATGTATATTTAAAAAACATATATTTTACAAATGCAATTATGCAATTTGCTGAGTTCACTATAAACTGGGTATACTAGACCGGCTGGTAATTGATTACACTACACTGTTTTAAATATACTTAATTGGAGATACCGGCTAGACATGCAATGTACATACACTCCCATCTGACTGGTGCTACAATGAGAATGTTGAATGACAGTCAGGAGTAAATGTGCATGTGTGCACCGACTGGATAATGCAAATATTTAACTAAAATTAAATTTTAAAAGCTTAAACCCAAGTAAAATCCAGTCTTTGCGTCTGCTTAGACCCTAGTAAAGCTCAAGTGGTCTAATGAATTTAATTGCATTCTATGTTTTCCACAAATTTTCTCATTTCTCCTCTGAGTTTCTTCCCTGCTGGATTATGGGGCAGAGATTCAACAATATAGAGCTTGCCGGTAATGTGCCTTGACTCAGGTAAATTATCTTCAACATATTTCTTGATATTTGTAGCTGTCCACTCAACTATACCTTTCCGTAGGACAATTCCGACATTGACCTACAAAATTTTAATCATTAAGGTTGATCAGATAAACTATGAGACTGTTATTGTAATCTATTTAAACAGTGGCATGCCTGTTTCACAACAGTACCATTAAAACATTTATCTGATTAATAATATGAATGATATTATTATCCTTGTTCTAGTCCAAAAAGTGTTAAACTAACTATTGTCACTTGAAATTACCTGTACAGTCCCTTTAAGAAAAAAAAAGAAAAATAATTTGGGTTAACTTGCCTTATCATTTCCAGTATTTGGATCATAATCACCCCAAACAAATGCCTCATCGATTTCATTAACTTTTTCAAGGACATTTTCAATCTCAGCAGGTCCAAACCAGCAACCCGAAACCTTGAGAACCTCTCTCATTCTATAGCTGTAATATATAGCTCCTGTTGCATCATAGTACCCTACATCTCCCATGTATCCAAATCCATCAGAACTATAGAATTCCTTTGTTTCCTTTTCTCGATTAAGATAGTATAACATCATACTCTCATTTTTAATCATGATCTTGCCCTCCTTACCAGGTTCTAATTTAACTCCTGTCTCCATGTCCTCAAAATACATTTGAACTCCAGGGTCCAAGACTCCAAGTACACAAGATTTAAACTCTTTGTTTGAATATGAGGAAATAAAAGTGACCTCAGAGCTGCCATACATCTCTATTATTGACACATGATGTCCCACTAGATTTAGCAGATTCAATGTGCCCTGAGAAGTAACCGAGCCTCCAAGAGGAGTTATTACTTTTAATCCATCCAAGGGTTTTACATCGATCTTTACATTGCTTAGTCTAGTGTACTGACTTATTCCGCAAAATGCATGCTCCAGCTGAAATTTGTCGACAGATTTAAACCAAACTTCCTCTGAGAAGCATTCTTTTTTGATAAAGTAACAGACGGCACCCTCGAAAATGCTAAGTAACACACTTACACTGAATCCTCCAATGTGAAACATAATCAAAGAAAGTAGAATCTTCTTGGGTTGGTACTGTTTACCAAGGGATATGTTGTTCAGTCCTAACTGAGAGAAAACTATACCTTTCGGCACTCCTGTAGATCCACTACTCCAGATTATAAGTGCTTCACTGTTTGGATCATAACTATGTAGACCAACAAAATCATTATTTTCTTTAAACTCCAGAAGATTCTGGAAGTGTTCAACTCCATCAGGAAGAATGACCTCTTTGCCAGCATCCAGAACAAATAGTTTTAGATTACATTCTTCTTTTCGCAACTCCAGCAGTACTTTAACATACTTGTCAAGGTACTGTTTGCTGCACACTACTACTTTTGCTCTAGGACCAGATTTTCAGAATAGTAAGACATTAGTTATTTTGTGTGAGTTCTGTATACAAAGAAACCCAAATATTTTCTCAATGGATTTTGATTTTGAATTAAAACGAGTAAAACAACGGATGGTCGGTCACATGTAGGAGATGGAAAAAAGAAAAATACAATAAATTTAGTTATATTTAAGCTGAGTAAGGCATTTTTATTTAAATGAATTATGTCTACATTTATCAGATAGCTTAAAGACCAAGTCACACTCATAGGCTGAATCCATAAATAACCAAACCAAAAACTACTCCAGCCTAACCCAGTATATACGGCATTTAACAAGGGATTTTTCATCATTTTTTCGTAACTCCCCCCAATGCTTTAAAGGGGGGGGAGCATTTTTCCAGGGGTGAGCCATTGGTTCAATGTTCAACCCAGAATCAGCCCGGCCCGGGTGAGAAAAAAAATGATTCAACTTTGTTTGACTATTTATTAAATCTGATCCCTGGTATCCAGAATTTGTTGTTTGATTGCCATTTCCTCTAGGTTAGGATCTCCCATGCTTGCTACTCCACCGCACAACCATGCTCCAAACACAGGCCAGTAAAAGTCAAGGCATGATGAATATCCCATCTGCAGCACATCATCAGCTCTAAACCCATGGCTGTATAAAGCAGCGGCAACCCTTCTACTTGTTGGTTCAATTTGGGAGATTGATATGGTAAGCTCGGTTTCAGTATCCACCAACCAGTCCCTATCTCCAGTTTCTTTTAGTTCGTGCTTTACATGCGATAGAACTCTATCTATAAAGCTTTTATTTGGAGGTTTGGCCTTTGGACCTAGTGGAGAGTATAGAACTTTATCCTTTATGATATTCATAATACTCGAGGTACTCTATTCAGATCAAAGACTAATCCACAACTAGGGAGAAGTATATAAGATTTGTAAATTTATACACATGACCATATGTGTTATGATCCCAATTGAATCAATAATATTAAATAAATATAAAATAAATATGTATTTCCGCAACAACAACAAAATTCTTATGAAAAGGAGTAGATAAATAATTGAATTCATCCGGGGTTGTTGCCAGGGACTCCAAGGGACTCCAAGGGACTCCAAGGGACTCCAAGGGACTCCAACAAAGTTCTCCGGCTGGAACTGTGGTGTTGGCCCTAAACTCATTGCTATATTATTTCAATTTGAAAAAATAAAATCCTGTGTAACTCATGAAGTTTCAAAACTTTTCATGGGATTTTTAACACATGGCTGTAAAACATATGTGATGCATTTTGGGCTGGGCACATTTGTAATTCTTACTCACTTCATCGTGAATTTCATAATAAACGTGCATTAAAGTAATTATCATGCTATGAAGTTAAATAGCTGTACATTTTAGCATGCAGATATAAAGTTTTTATTGGTTCCCGGATTTTATCCAAAAAAATTAGGATATTTCCTAAATTTTGTTTTCAATTGAAATGATAATAAAATTCAAATCAACTTTATATTTTGACTTTTGCTTTGTTTCAAAGCTTATTTGATCTATTTGAACAGACATTGAAATAAGTATACACAAACGTTTCATAAAATAACCTATAACAATATTATTTTGGAACGACTCGACATGCTATACAGTTTTTGTACTTAAATTTTTTCTATATCTTGAAGGTTCTCGCCATTTTAGATTATATCAAATCAAACCTTCGAGATAAAGAGAAAATTTCTGTCCAAAAACTTTATAACACTGCGAAACAAAATAACAGTGTTATAAATAGTTATAACAGTAATTGAATTATCCGGTTATTTTTAATACTTTCTTTTATCCAAGGTGTTTTGACATTAAAATATTTCATGGTTTCTGTAAAACAATTAAACTTCTGTAAAATTTTGAAACATGCTAACAAACTAAAGATGTACAGGAACTTGCAGATTTAATGAAATTTATTCGTTTTTTAGAATTACACAGTTATACAGGTTTGCTGTAATACATTATCTAAAATAGACTGTAGACATAATGTAAAGGGTGATTTATTTCAATAGATGTAGGATGGGCTTGGTTAAAAATTCAAAACAACTTTTTTAAGATATGCGAGGACATTAATCATTCTCAAATGGGCAAAGCAGCAGTAATTGAACTAAAAAATTCAAAGACAAATGTTGGGCCGGACTAAAATCTTTAACCTCTTAATGTTCAAACCCCATTTGAAACTTTTAATGTAAGAAAACTTAGAAAAGTATTGTCTAGATGTTAAGTTTTACAGATTTGTTTAATGTTCCAAAACTTTTGCCTGGGACTGCACCGTTGCTTTCAATGTTTCTGTTGGAGTTGTTAATTTTTATGTTGTTGTTGATGTTATAGTTGTTTTTTTTTATCCATGTTACTCCTGCTAGCTTGCGATAGTGTTGTTGTTTTTATGGTTTTCCTTGCTGCTGATGTTGTTGATGTTGTTGTTGTTGTTGTTGTTGCTGTTTTTTACAACCTTGTTGTAAGTATCTTGTGTTATGTTTCCCTGGAAAAATATATTTATGGAAAAACTGCGCCATTAATTCTGGAAAACGGACACACATCCTGCAGGGGTTTCAATAAAAAGTACAACATCAAGAAAAAAGTGAATAACAAAACTTATTCAAAGATTGAATATAAGAACCAAAGTAACTGATTACTCGCCACAAATCTGATGTCATAGACCTTTGATATTTCAAACTACAATTTCTCCTAGATGAAAATGTCAAAGTTTTCAGACAGCAAAGATATTGTGACCAAAAATTTGAATTTGTTATTCTTTTAGGCTTTCTTGACATCAAAATAAAGCTTGGTTGTTTTAAATCTTTTCAACTAACATTTTAATTATCCCCGAAACAGCAAATCAATATTTACAATCTGACACAACGCTTGAAAAAGAATAAAACACCTTCTTGTAAAACCACTCATGAAAACATTTTCTTTTCACAGAAAACACAAAATTTAAAGATTGCAGTTTTTTGAATAGTTAAAAATCTTTTGATCTTCATTTTAGAAGAAAATAACTCTTATTGAAATATGACGCTTCTCTCTTCATAAATAAAAAAGTTAACAATTGTAGGTAAATTCTTATTATTGAAATCTGAATATATTTGTTTTTAAAGTTGGGTTTTTTTGTCTGCTCACCCTGCAGTTTTTACATTTAACAGCATTCTTTAGAAGATATCAACATTTTTGGGCAAGCTTGTTAGCCGAGTGTTACATTAAAAGAAATAATTATCAAAAAAGTGAATAGGTATTCGCAAAAAGAAATTTGTACTAAAAGTTGAATAAATTAAGAAGAAATAAAATTAGAAATTTTCATTTTCCTCTCTTAAAATTGACTATAGAAAAGAAAAATGAACAAACAAATAACTGATTTGACCTACAGTTTGTCCCATTTAAGACATTTTTGGCATAACAAATCATAAAAAAAAATCCAACGGCCCCTCACCTCCAAACAAAAACTTCTTTTTATGTTTTGATTAACAAATTGCTCTGGAAAGGATAGGGACTGATAGTTTAGAAAATAGAAAATAAATGAGTTCCGGTTAGGGCTGGCCATATTTGTTCTTTTTCAATATGTTTGTTACCATTTAGTTATATTTATTGTTTTTTAAAACTAATGATGTCATGGTCCTTTCAGTTCTTATTTTAAATGATCTCAGTTTTCCTCCATGCTTTAATATTACCATTTTATAGCAAGTTATTGATCTTTTAATATACAAATTTTAGTTATTGATCTGTTTAAGCATAAACATTAACAAAATTGTTATTCTAGTTATATTTTAATGAACCTGATTGTTAATTTTATTTTGAACGGTTTTAAAATTTCTGAAGAACGGTTCCTTAATTTTTAGCGAATGTACGGGTTTTTTAATTTTTAACGAACAGTTTCTTAATTTTCTAATGAACGATTCTTTAAATTTCTTATGAACGGTTCCTTGATTTTTATAGACGTACGGTTTTGCTTTTTTTACCGAACGCTTCCTTAATTTTCTAATGAATCTATGGTTTTGTTGATTATCTTAAATTTCCGGTTGTAATTTTAACTTTGCCCAGTCCTAGTTCTGGTTGTAATTTTAACTTTGCCCAGTCCTAGTTCCGGTTTTAATTTTAACTTTGCCCAGTCCTAGTTCCGGTTGTAATTTTAACTTTGCCCAGTCCTCGTTCCGGTTGTAATTTTAACTTTGCCCAGTCCTAGTTCCGGTTGTAATTTTAACTTTGCCCAGTCCTAGTTCCGATTGTAATTTTAACTTTGCCCAGTCCTAGTTCCGGTTCCTAGTTCTTGTGAAACTTGGTAAGAAATGGTGAAGCAATGAGAAGAGTTAGAAAAGGACCAAAAACTACAGATTGAAGAAAATTGATGTGGTAATTACTTAAATTAGATAGAACTAATTATCCTACTAAAATGTTCTACTTTTACATATTTACATCCGGACTTATATCTTATATCGTTAATATTTCAATCTATGAAATCTGCCCTGCTAAACCTTTACATTTTTCAAATTATGCGAGCTTTTTTTCTAGCTCTAATTTAAAAAGAGGAATTGGCAAAAAGCTGAAAGATTTTTGCGGAAGAGAAATTTGCCTCGTTTCTCTCTGAACAGTAAATGTGTGGATTAATTTGAGGGTTGGATCAGTTTGGAGGTCGTACTTGTAACTTTAGCCTTACAAACTGTTAAAAGCACTGGGGGAACAAGTTTTTACTTTTGTTGTTTAATTTTAAAATGTTTAATTATGACAAGAGAAATTAGAGAATTTTCATAAAATTGAAAAAGTGATAAAATTTAACAAAAGGGAGGGGGAGGATGAGGTGAAAGGGGGGAAAGGATGAGGAGAAAGGGGGGAGGATGAGGAGAAATTGCCTCTTGCTAGAGGAATTCAAACAATCCTGAACACTTGAGTGTTAGCCAACCTAGGAGTAGATACAAATACAAATATGAGTTTAGTCAACCTAGGAGTAGATACAAATACAAACATGAGTTTAGCCAACCTAGGAGTAGATACAAATACAAATATGAGTTTAGCCAACCTGGGAGTAGATACAAATACGAATATGAGTTTAACCAACCTAGGAGTAGATACAAATACGAATATGAGTTTAGCCAACCTAGGAGTAGATACAAATACGAATATGAGTAATAGCCAACCTAGGAGTTGATACAAATACGAATTTGAGTTTAGCCAACTTAGGAGTGGAGACAAACACGAACATGAGTTTAAAAATAGAAAACGCACTTCAAAATCTACGATTGAACACGATTTTTCAGAAAAATACTAAATTTAGATAATCTCTTCAGTCTTAAATTATTTACAAAACTACCCCAAACGTATAAAGTTTTAAATCATTGTAATCCTATCGTGTCGTGTAAATTAAGCTTCAAGTGAAAGCTTAACCCAAAGATATATTCAGAAAAATGTTTGCAATTTTATCTAGTTGAAGCTAAAGATGCAAATTTGTGTGAGACATTGGGCAACTTGTAAAAATCAAAATACATAAAAAGAACTTAAAAAAGTATTATGTTAAAACTTTTAAGGAATTTAAAAATAGTATTTTTTGTGTAAAACCTAACGAAAAATCAATTGTAAAATTGTCAAAAATCCAAAATCAGGTTTTTAAAAATACTTATTTTTTATCTATTAATAAAGCTCTTCGCTCATGTATTTGTTTTTATGTAAGCTATATAGCAGAGCTGAACCAAGTTGGCAAATTGGGGTCAAAAATAGGCAAAATAAATAAATTTTTTAAAAATTCGAATTCTTTATTTAAATTTGTTTTCTCAATTGTTTCTTAAATTCCATGGGCAACGCGCGGGCACTTGAGCTAGTATTCTATGAAATCTGTAATTTATAAATTTCATCCAATCTTCTTTATGTATTTCATTTTCTCTATATTTACAGTTCGTTTTATTTTTGTGCATTTAAATGTTATGTTAACTCTACATCATACAAGGATATTATATGGTTCTATTTTCTAAAGTATACTTCACCATTAAACCAGTAATATTGCTGTAAACTAAAAGCTAGGGCAGGCCACGATCATTTCCATGAAAGGGTCGGTAGACGTAATATCAAGTCGCCTTCCATTTACTCTATGAAGGCGGGGCGGTTTCTATCTATGTGTAGCCCGGGGGGGGGGGCGTTTGGCGCCTTCACCCTATAAAAAGGGTATAGGGTTGAAATGCATGTTTATAGCACAATTGTTCATTGGCAGCTCAAAGAAAAAAAAATTAGATCGATAACTTGAATAGTTTGGGTGCTAGGAAGGATGGAAAAAATTCTAAAAAAGGGTAAAAAAAATGAAAATATTTTTTTGTTTTAAACAAATATCAAAGTGTGACACATGTTTCTACATGCATTTTACAAGGGCTTTTCAAAAATGTTTTTTTTTCGTCCTGTACCATACCCTATAAATTACAAAAAAAATATTTTTTAACAAAAAATCCTTTAAATTACTATTTCATTAAAAGTCACAAAATTTCACAGTGATATTGACAAAAATGAGAGTGCTAGGACAAAAAAAACTACAGGACCCCCCCCCCAGCATATCCTGGTTTTCAAGTACCCCAGCAGGGATAGGGTTAAAGTATATATCCATGCATATATGTTTAACGTGCTGTTGGGAATTGGACATTCCTCTCTTTTTAAAATGAAGGTTTACTTGAAAATACATCAACATGTATCTATAATCAAGAAAATTAATTGAGAAAATGAAGAAGAAAAAACTAGTTTTAAACAGTTATGCATGTTGGGTACTATGTACCCATCTTTAAGGTATAATAGATTTACAGTTTAAAAATGGAATCTTAATAAACACAATTTCTTCTTTTCTATTTAAGCTTTTTATTAATAGACAAACCAAATGTTTATAGTTTTTATCAAGAATCGGTGAACAAAGCAATTTTTGGATAAAAACAATTTTTAATATCTAGCAACTAATTTTCAGGAATGTATTTTTATGAAAAAATATTTAAATATTTGACAATATTAATACACGATAAACTTCAACATCCTAGAATAACAAGAAACAGGTAAAATCTTTTGAAAGTATTTAGTTCTATGAATCTTGAAAGAAATTTAAAACGTTGAATCATGTCCAACTCTGTAGACTCTAGCTCTAAACAGTTTCATCCGTCAGAAAGTTTTATATAATATTAAAACAAACTTGAAAACTATGACATTTTCACGCTAAGCTGAAAGTGCTGATTCAATTGTGCCTTAACTTTAAAACCCATTTGTACCCATAAAATTTTGAATTTTTGTATTTGCTTTTTATTTGAATATAATAAAGACCTTTCACACTGTTTTTTACATATTTTTGACGTAAAGATCAAAACCTGACTGAAAATTTTCTGATACAAACAGTTAGTTTGACGTGTCTTGAATTGGCTGATATGAGCCACGAAAATTCTATTAGGATATTGCCAACTACTCCTTTAACCCATAAACGATAAGAACAGTATTATAACTATGATTTAATGTCGCCTTTCTATTCAAGCGTTTTCTGGTTACCACTGTAGCTGACCTGTAAATGAATTAGAAGATTGAGTATCAAACGACGAAAGGATTGTTTCCTCTGAGCCCGTAGAGTATCTTAAATCTGTGTTTAGATCAATTTGCATAACATCCTTCCGACTCCAAACTAAATAAATTGATACTATTTTTTAAAAAATGTTGAAAGAACCAAATAAAACGTTGATAGAATCAGATAATACTTTGATAAAATCAATGAAACTTTGATTGAATCATGTGAAACTTTTAGAAATAGCTGTCAAACTGCTAAACATCAAGTTAATTAGAGCATTTCTTGTGTGCTGATTCTTTTTAAAGAATTAAATACTATTTTGAAATGCAAACGAGAACAAATCTCTTCCGCAGTGAGAAAACATAAATATGTTACACGGAAAAAATACAATTTTCACAGTGCACCTGAATCCCTCCATAAAGAAGATCTACGAAATGGTGACTTCTGTTTGTGTGTAACATGTGTTAACGTGTATCGGATAGGGGTTTCACTGCTGTGTGGTGAAGACGACAGGCTTTCTCCAGAATCAGCTGATTCAATATGGCGTCTCTTTCGAACTTTATTTCTGAAACCATTTAAAATAAATACTCCTATACCAGAATGATTTCAAATTAGATCAGAAATTTATCATTAACCAGATTAAGAGAACAGACTTTATAAGCTACCTATATAAGATTAATATTAATTATTATCATGAATGTGTCGAAACTTTTTTTTCAAAAGATTTCAATATACTTCACATGGGCAAGATACGTTAGAATACAAAATTATTTATAAATATAAATTATGTATGAATTATTTATCGTTCATCAAGTTACAATATAAGAAAACCGTTCATTATGGATGTGATTTCGTCCATTCAATTGTTTCAAAATTATTATCATTTGGAAATTATGAACATGATGTTAGGGATATCTCAAGCATTTTTATATTACTCAAACTCAGTTCGTGATTTTCAAATTCTCTCGAAAAGTTCGAAATTAAAGTTCGATGTTGACAACAAAATAAAATAGTTTTTTTTCTGAAAGTGTATTACGGGAACATTTTTATGAGACCAAAGACAAAAGACTACAAATATTAAAATTGTTCAATGCTTTTTCGACAAAGATTTGATTGTTAGAAACTGTTCCAAAATAGGAAATGGCCTATGTGTATAAGTCCTTCCTTGATAAATTATTGATTTAAAGGGTTTTTTTAACCCGATTTTGTCTATTTAGATTTTTAAGAGTTGTAAAAAGTGTATTCCCATATTTTTTGAAATCTTATATCTGTGCACTTTTAATCTTTTCAAGTTTAACATTCCGATAAATTGTAGAATACTTGACATACTAGGGCTGAACATTTTTTAAGACTTTTAAATTGCTTGACTTATTAAAAAGATTCCAAAAAATTTTAGAAGTTTCAAAATTTCAAAGTTGTTTATTCCAAACATTTGCTGTTCTTACATTATGCACAATTTTAACCCTAAGAGAAGATATTTGCATGAACGGAATAAAAAAACTACATGAAGGATAATTTTTTGATTCGTTTTTAGTTAGTTCATGCAAATATCATCTATCAGGGTTAAAATTTTATTTAATTTGTGTAAAAGAGCAAATGTCTAAAAAATTTGTAAAACTCTGAAAAATGTTGTGGAACCCTTTAAAGTCCAAACACCTTAGAACCAGAGGTCGATCATATAACCGAACGAACCTGAATATTTTGTTAAATCCGTTTTGCACTCATGGTTAGTTTAAATAATCTAACAGATTTACTATATAGTTCAGCCCACTTGGATAAACCACATATTGGGTACACTAGACGGGCCTGTACGGTAAAGACTAGACCGGCATCTCTGTACCATGTTTCTGATCATACAACTTTTAAATTTATGTTAATTAGAATATTGAGGAATGTTTTTGTTTAACGAAAATCAGTTCTTTGACGGAAATCTTAAAAATATTATCTCAAAACATCTGTGCAAAAATTTTAGAGAAGTATTTGGTATTAAATTCGGAAACAAGGCTTAGGCAGGATAATTCCGTTACGCTTTTTAAAAAAACAATTTCACGGATTACACTGTTCATTAACAAAATGTTCTGTCAATTTTCAACAGCTTATTTTTTAGCGGAAATTGGACCAGCCCTAGTCTGCATTCGGGCCATTTTATAAACATTGTAGAATTTACTAGGCTGTTACTTTCATACAAAAATGCATTAAACAACCTCATGAAGCAATACAACTAAACTAAATAACTATTTATCAGTCTTAGTGTTTGTTTATGTTTCCTTCAAGGGACTGTGTCCAAACCACACCGGTACCCTTGAAACCTTTCACTGATCAAACTATGCAGAATTATACTTATTTAATATGCAGAATCAATTACTTTTAACTGTTGATAACTTTGTTTTGAATACTTGACTTTCCGAGAGAATTCAGAGAAAATGGTTATTTTTAATCGAATTTTCAATTTTTAGAAATTGTTATCACAACAACGTGGATTTTATTGCGTCAATAATGGAGCAAATATTGTTAGGGTAACATTGTGAATCATATATGTTAGTAAAGTGAAACACCTTCAGTTCCCTAAACCTGAAAGGAATTGAGTCTTTGCTACAAACTCAAATATTTTAATCCCAATAAAAATTTTAAAAAAAATTCCACGGCTTCAGTTTGTATTATATATAAACATATTTATGTTCTTATTATTATTTACCAAATGGGTTGTTGTCAAGAATCTCCGGATTTTTTTTCTTTTCTTTTTTTCTTTTCTCCTCGTCTTTCTTCTCTCTCCGCCATGTCTGATTTGTCTGTTCTGTTGTTTTGTTAATTTTAGTTTTCCAAGTTCTGGGTGGTAGTGGAAGACAGCAGAGTAACCTGGCAATCAGAAAATATATTAATAACAAATTTATTTTATTCAACCAGAAAACAACGGAACAGGAAGGCGATATTATATCAATACATAAATGTATTTGATGTTGTTAAAATGCAAATAATTTTACTTGGAGGCCGAATTTAAAGAATTTTAGTGGCGGCTTAAATTTAAGTCGTGGCTCAAATATGGTTGGTTTCACTTAACCCTTTTCCTGGTGGGGGGGGGGTCAATTTGACCCCTCCCCCTGTAGTTTTTTTTACATAACTCAAAAAGTATTGGTCTGAGGCTGTTTAAATTTTCTGACTTTTCTTACATACCCAAAGCCCTCCCTTTAGGCCTAAAACCGGGCTTTAATACTAACTGCCTGAGTCCTCAGGCACTCTGCCTGAATGACTGCTTTCGCCTGTAACAAACTAAATCTTTGTTTTGACCCACTTTCACTTGTCAGATTTTGATAAAATTTAGCTTTTTGGAAAGCCTATTACATCAGAAAACGGATTGCACAAGTTTTGCGAAAAAAAAATTGCAATTTTTTGCAAACAACCTGTTAAAGGAAATTTGTACATTTTTTGTTTTTCTTGATTAAAAATCAGGTTATTTAAAATTTTGCAAAAATTTTTGCATATTTGAAATGGCATGGTCAAGGGCTGTTCATAATGTATAATTTTTCATTTTTGGACAAAATTTTTTTTGCAAACATTTTACTATATAACTGGATTTTGCGATAAAAAATTCAATTTTTGCAAATTTGCTATTTTTTTTGCAGATTCTAAAAGTAGAGCACAAGAGCTTTCTAATGATGTATCATTTGTCATATTTGGACATAAAACATGGGATTTAGAGGGGGGGGGGTCAAATTGACCCCCTCCCCAGCATATCCTGGTTTTCAAGGACCCCAGCAGGGTTAGGGTTAAAATTGTATTCAATGTTTCAAGATCTAAGCCGGTGCTTAATTGAAACCGATTTTTGGCGGATTCAAGACGCGGCTCAAATTCATTAAATTTGGACATTAATAAATCACTGATTTAGTAAAATGTGTTTGTCTATATATTGCACGATTGCTATGTATCATTCTCTTTGGACCTTTTACAGTTATAACGTCATTTTTATATTCCAGAGTTTTCTGGTTATCTCTGTATCTTCATGATATAATATCATGAGCTAGATAAAGATACTTTTTTAAAAATATAGAAATTAAAATAAGTTGAAAAGTTTAACCTTTCGAATGAATGAAAGAATTAAACTGGAGGGTAAAATAACTATTTACAACACTGTTATTTTGGTTCGCAGTATTATAAAGTTTATATACAGAAATTTTCTTTTTATCGAGAAGGTTCAAGCCTTTTTAGATTTAATTTTGTCCTGAGCTTTAACGTGGGACAAAATATAATCTAAAAAGACGAGAACCTTCGAGATAATGAAAATTTAAGTTAAAAACTGTATAGCACGTCGTGCCAAAATAATAGTGTTATAGGTAATTTTTAAAACGTTTGGGTACTTATTTCAACAGATCTATAGATCAAACAAGCTTTGAAACAAAGCAGAAGTAAAAAAGTTGATTTCAATTGAAAAAAGTTTTTTTTGGAAGTATCCTAAATTTTTTGGAGAAAATCCGGGAACCAATCTAAACTTCATAGCCACACGTGATAAATTGTACAGCTAATTTAACTTTATAGCACGATGATTACTTTAAAGCACGTTTATTATAAAATTCACGATGAATTGAGTAAGAATGATAAAGTTTACAAAAGTTTCATTAAGAATTTCTATCCGAAGACTTTATGATATACTGCGATATTGTATAGTTTTAAAAACTCTTAAAAAAATTCAATATTATTTTTTTTTTAAATATTATTTATCTTATAGATAACTTTTACGTTATAGATAGATGCCGAAAATAATAATCATATGTTGGATTAATATTCAAAATAGGAGGGGCAGGGGTATTGCTAATTAACCCCTTCCATGAATTTGCCCCTACCTAAAGAACTAAGGTTGAAGTGATTTGTGGTTGAAATAAAATCTTAAATCGGCATATTTTTGTTCAAAAATATTGTAAAAATAAAAATTCAATGATTCCCAAAATGCTAACAGATATGGTAAAAATCCTGGAAAAACGAAAATTATGTTGCTCGGTGCCACCTCTAATATTTACCTAGATATAGGCAGGCTAGGCAGGCACAGGGTGTTTAGTTCCGGTTTATACATTGTAGTTCACTTCTGGAAAAAAAAATTGTTGAAAAAAATTAAAAGGAATTGAGTCATTGCCACAAACTATTATATTTTAGTCCCTTCATCTTTGAAACCTGATAATGTAAACCTTTCATTTCTCGCATTTAAATTTTTTAATATAACAGAGTTTATAGTTTGAAATGTCTAAAGTGTAAAACATTGGGTTGCAACTTGCAAGTATATTGGAAAGAGAAAATCAGAGTTTGTGGCAAAGACTCAAATCCCTTTCCCAAAGTTTAACACTTGGAAAACAAGTCTCAAGTGAAGGGACTGCCGATGTAAATTCAAGTGACCCTTAAAATACAGATTTATATGCATAACTACATACAACTTAATCTAGAACTCATTAATACCATAGTCAATATCAATCCGGATACGATTGAGTCTGTATTCTCAGGTATCTGTCTTACAAGATACAACTCAATGAGGAACTCAAGTTTCACACAAATACCATAATCAATATCAATCTGGATACAACTCAGTCTGTATTCTCGGGTATCTATCTCACAAGATACAACAAAGATAGATTTACAGGCAAGGGAATTGAGTTTTCGGAACAAAATCAAATATTTAAACCTCAATATCTTCAGAACTAGATGTTGTAAACCTTTGATATTTCAAATTCAGATTATTTGATCTAACAGAATTCATAGTTTGAAATATCTAAGGTCTGCAACGTTTGGTTCCAAAGATATAGTGATTAGAAAATCAGAGTATGTGGCAAAGACTCAATTCCTTAGTGGGATATTCTTGTATTTCTATCGGAAAATTGAATATTATCAATTTTGGTTTCCACGTAAAAGTAAATTTGTGATTTATAATCTAAAAGTTATACCTTCATGAAAAGGAGGTGAAATTCTAAAAAAGAATTACTAACGTACTTACTCACTTTCTCTTTAAAAAGAGGATCACTTTACTACTTTAATTTGATAAAATTTTACTTTACAAAACTTTCATTTTCAAAATTTTATTTTAAGAAGTGTTATTCTTTGCTTCTTCTACAATGATTTGATTTTGAATAATAATTATTGCAAAATCAACTTTGCAAACTGTAAGGTTTCAAGAGGATAAACAATATTTGTGAGCATTTAGAACAATCTTTATTGCCTTGTTTTTAAAGTTATAAAAGATTGAGAGAAACAAATACGTATTTAAAAACTTCACGCTCATCTCTGTATGTATTTTGTAGTGAAATGAAAGTGCAGTTTTTACTAGGCCAATTTATGTTTTATAATTTTAAGAACTAGAGAATTGGGAACAGTTTTGTTTAATCTATTTTAATATTCAAGGTTAAAATAGTATTAAAGCCCGGTTTTAGGCCTAAAGGGAGGGCTTTGGGTATGTAGGAAAAGTCAGAAAATTTCAACAGCCTCAGACCAATACAAATTGACCCCCCCTCCCCGCAGATACAGGGTTAAGAGAATTCACAAAATTTTAACAAAATTTCCATATTTTTTTCTGGAAATTTTGGTGAATTTATGCAAATTTAGACTATGACTGATCAGGAATTAAACCAGTCGTTAACGGAAGATTTGAAAAATCGCTCCAACTTTTCTTTTTTGTCTTAATCAACCTATTGCACAATGTCCAAATATATATACTATTTTAAGACGTCTTAATAAACTGTTATGTGATGATTTATGATAGCTGGCTTTCTAACAAAAATGCTTTAAATATAACCCGCTATCATGCGGGACTTTCTAAAATTCTATTGTTACTCAAATAGACCTAACAGAGATCAAAGACGACATTTTATTCGACAATAATTTATCATATTTATTGGGAATAAACAAAATTAAACAAAACAAAAAATATTATGAATAACAAATTATTTTCAAATATTTTTAAACAATTACATCGACTTCCAATTAGCATTTAAATCTGAAATAATTTGAAATAAAAATGATAAAACTCCAAAATTATTGGACTGAGACTGCTTACAGGTATTTAGTTTTTACCTCAAACTTTTATTTTCTTATCCCTATATCACTGTAATTTGATGTCGTACGTACCTTTGATTATTCTAACTTTTAATTCTGTTTGATCAAATAGTCTTAGTTTAACATACAGCATCCTAACACCAGGTTTCAAAGTTATAGAGATTAGGAAATTTGATTTTTTCGACAAAGACTCAATTCCGTCAGAACTTCAGAAGGCCATATTTTTTCTATGCCAATATAATTACGGGTTAGACCCACTCACAAGTTTTAGAAATGTTAATTTCAATTTTATTACCCATGATGAAAAGTTCTTTGTAAACATATCTAAATAACCCGACTTTGCTAACAAATAGAAAATAAAGGGGTCAATGATATTTTATTATCGGACATAAAACAAACAAATATACTTTGATTTTGTATATTTATATATAAAATAGACTTTATCATACATTTTATTATCATAAAAAAATTAAATCTGAAAAAATTTCTATGTTAATTTTGAAGATACGAATAATTTTCTACATAGGACTAAACGTAATTTAGATTTGTTTCATAATTTGAAATACCTTAAAAGACTTAAATTATCAGAATTTAAGGCTTATCTTCCACATCGTTGATGAGGTAAAGGTTTCAAGGAAAAGTGAATCAGGCGTGCTTCTCTTTAAATGGTAGTTTAAAATTACACGACAATCCTTTAAATATTTTTTAAAGATCTTTGATGTCTGATGTGTTTGCGGATCTCCCTGTATATTTGGTAATGTCATTTATTTTCCATTTCCTACTAGACTCCGGTGGGAGTTTTGAGAATCTCAGGGATTTGGAATCTTTCAGGACAGAAAATCTTTTTTAAATATTTTTGTACGATCATGAAAATACCTTTGTACGATCTTGAAAATAGCTTTGTACGATCATGAAAATAGCTTTGTACGATCATGAAAATAGCTTTGTACGATCTTGAAAATAGCTTTGTACGACCTTAAAAATAAATTTGTACGATCTTGAAAATAACCAAACCTCTGTAGAGTAAAAAAGTAGATATGTTAGTTCCACATTTATTGAAAATATATTTCGATATAATAACCATCAAAATCGATAAAAAAAAATAAAATTGTAAAAAATCACAATGTAACATCCTGTGGAAAGGTGCTGAACAGATTTCAATGAACCTTTAAATAGATAGTTTGCGTGAGTTAATAACCTATATTACTGCAATAAAGAAAAATGCAAACAAAATTGGGGGCATTGGGGCAAATGTGTTAGTGGAATTTGAAAAAAAAATTTTAACTGGGGGCATTTTTTTTTTAAATTGGGGGCATTTTTTTTCAAAATTGGGGGCAAAAAATTATTTTTGGATCGAGAAAATCAGCTTTTTTGGGAATTATATTGACCCCTGATCTGGATTGATATTGACTATGGTATTTGTGTGAACCTTGAGTTTCTGATTGAGCCGTATCTTGTAAGACAGATACCTGAGAATACAGACAGAGTTGTATCTTGTAAGACAGATACCTGAGAATACAGACTTAGTTGTATCTGGATTGATATTGACTATGGTATTCGTACAGAACCTCGAGTTCTATATTGAGTTCTACTTGGATTGGTAGTGTTCTAAAAGTATTTATTAGAGTAGGGCATTTACTTCAGTTATAACAACAAATATAGTGTATAATTGAAATAGCTATAGGCCTACACAGTACACACACACTATGATTTTGCAAAGATATAGAATTTTGAAAATTGATTTCTTTAAACAATTCCTCGTAAGTAATTCACCAAAGTAGTTTCTATGACAACCATTTTTGATGTTGTGCAAAAAAGTGATGAAAAAAAAAGTTTCAAAAACATTCAACATCTCTCTGAAGACATAATTTTCTTCTTAGGAAAAGAAGATGAGATTCAAGCCTTGTCCTTTCATTTTACGATCACATCATCACATATTTTACTATCATTATGAAAAATGTTTCTAAACCGCTGCAGAAATTTGTGCTGAATTAATGGTTTAAATTTGTGCTAAATTAATGGTTCAAATTTGTGCTAAATTAGTGGTTCAAAGGAATTGAGTCTTTGCCACAAACTCAAATTTTCAAATTCCTTCATCTTTGCAATCTGATGGCGTAAACCTTTTATATTTCGAACTTAGATTATTTGAGCTCACGGAAATCTAAGCACTACAACATTGCGTTGGAAAGATATTGTGATTAGAAAATAAGAGTTTGTGGCAAAGACTTAATTCCTTTGTGCTAAACAACGTTTATGTACAACGTCTATGTACAATGTACATAGCAAATATACTATTAAGAGCAAGCTAAAAACTTTTTCCGAATAATAATCACAGTCTCAATATAAATCTCCTGCAGGATTTCCTGTTTAATCTTGACTGATGAATAAATTCAATATAGTACACTCACTTCACTAAGAAATATGACACTATGATAAACAGGGAAAGACTGGCTGTCAAAAAATCTTCTGTCTTTGATTTTAAGTGCATTAAATGGAATCTTAAAAATCCCTGTTTCATCACTTACTGTTAAGAATCCGGGTTTTTAATAACTCTTAAACACATCTTCATTGTCTTTTAAGGGATCTCATGGATTCATTTTATATAATACTATAGCTGGAGTGCCCGGCGTTGCGTTAAAGATCAAATGATCAAATTTAAAAAGTTAAGTAGCAGGATCAATTCTGGTTTTCTTTTTTATTTTGGACACCTTTATATACAAAACATGGAAGCACTGACAACATTTCTTTCAAAGGTTTAACAGGACAGTACTATTGAATGCAGTAAAATCATCACACGGGGTCAAGAATAAAATATATTTTATTAGAGGGACTGCACACGTATTTTATTAAAGGGACTGTACACGTATTTTGTTCTTCAGGATCCATGTTTCTATAAAAAAGGGATATTGTGAATCAGACAATCCAAGCTACTCGTGTAGTTTCGCCTGCCGTCTCTTTGTTTTATAAATATAACTTCTTGGAAATTTGACATCAGATCAAAGGCTCTAGGTGGGACTACGAAGTACAAAGTATTGTAATATACTGCTTTTTTATTGTACGTCTCACCTTGAACTAGTTGATGATAGAACTTTTTAACTTTTAAGACCCTTCACATATTTTCAGTATGCATTTAAGTTAACGTGTTATAAAAATCTTTAGATGTTTATTTTTTGAGATATTTTCTGAGTAATAAGCCTAATTTATCAGGTTTGTCAAATTATAATAGATTTTGTATTTCTAATGATATATTGCACTAAATTCCGACAATTGTACATTTAATAGACGAAGGAAAGAGATATGCTGCTTAGCTTCTCACAAGTTCAGAACTCGATTGAACCAAAAGAAAATGAAATTCTGCTGTGTCGTCTGACGTCTCTCAAATCTCTTTCATAGTCTAAGAAATAACAAAACAACAATTGTTTAAATCAATTTTATTGTATCTTTGGGAACAGGATTCTTTCTTGTTTATGATAGTAGTTATTATCCTCACTGCTCAATAAGGTAACCTAAAGAAATCATTATGTCAATACAATATCGTTTTATTTGTACTGTGTCATGTCTAATATCAACAATTTCTTAATTTATTAACATATTTTGTATTTTTGGACAAAACATTATACTTTAAACAACATATTTTCAATAATTTATATCTTATAATATTGTATTGTTTTATTATTATTGTAATGTTTGTAACACATTTAAAATAAACTTTTTAATTAACGAAGAGAATAAGGCTGCAAAAAAGTACGAATTTAGATATTAGCGTGTCTTGAATCAATTCAGGGAGTTCTAATAAACATTGGAATATTAATTGTTGCTTTTTTTTCGAAAAAAATTCCTAAAACTTGAGATTTTCGAAATCTGCCTAAATTAATTCCGCTAAAAGGAATTGAACATTTTTTTAATTTCATATTTTCTAATCCTTATATCATTCCAAACTGATGGTGTAAACTATTGCTATTTCAAACTTAGATTGTTTGATCCAACAGAATTTATAGCTTGAAACATATAAGGTCTACGACAAGATATGGGATTAGAAAATCATATTTTGTGTAAAAGCATCAATTTCTTTAATTAATAAATCTTAGAGAAAGAATTGTGCAGAGGAATAAATGTTCTCAGTACATAATTTGTTACCAATGAAACTAGAACTTAGGATAGTGCTACATTGTTTGTTCGCGTATATTGACATGTTAGGGCAGCTCGTGCTCTAGTACTTTAATGTAACCAATAATATATATTTAATACAAGGCTTAGTATCATACTAACATAACTTAGAATTACACTAAAAATAGTTGTGGAAGAGCATTTACTTATAAGTAACAATGCAAGTATTAGCCATACATTTAACCTTCATCATGTCGTATATTGAAGTTTTTTTAACTCTAAACTTCGGTTTTTTTAAAGCTTTTTTAAAATAAACTCAACGACACTTGTAAATTTGTAAGTTCTAAATCGTAGTTTCGTCTTTATGTTAAAACTACCTGACTAAAAAAAATAAGTTCTCTCCCCTTCCCCTCCCCCCCCCCTTTTCAAATATGATCCTAACTTTTTGCGGAATGTTCCAAATACTATTCGGAAGTGTCTAAAAGTAAATCTCTGCTCTGAATTCAAACTAAACTACCTTTTTATTAAAATACGAGATAGAGCTGCCAATTTTCAGTCAAAGCTAAGAAAATATTTAAATCTATCAGTGAAATAAATCCTTTTGCAACAAAATCCAGGTTTAGTATGCATTGACTCCTTGAATTCAGATGTTCAGAAATGTAAACTTACTTTTCCTAATTCTATTCAATATCAATTAAATAAATAAGTTGCAAAAACATGTGTTAAACCCTATGACGGATGATAAATTACATCTAGTTTTATTTTCTATCTTAAAAAGATTTAAAGTTTTTCTCCGGTATTAAAATTAAATATTTGAAATAGAAAATGCGCAAATTGTGTCCAGTAAAATACGCAATTTTTAGTCTCGACATGTCAACTGAAAACGATTTGAATAAACCAAAGGAGATAAAGAAAGAGGAAGATGCGGAAACAAAAAACCCAAAGGAAGATAAAATGAAACCGGTTAAAGAAGATAAAGAAAATGACGACAAGAAAAAGGAAACTGAACCGGAAGAGAGCAAAGCCGAAAAGTTTAGATCTTTATGTTCTTCTTTTCAACTATTCTGCTATAACCCCAAGGAAGGGTCATGTCTTACACGGACTCCGATGGAGTGGGTGAAAATATTAGCATTCATAGTATTCATTTGGGGATGTATCATAGCATTCACTACAATGTGTTGGTATCTTTTCATGGCTATTCAACATCCAAACCTAGAAGATATTCCAGTTTGGCGAAGATGGGATACATGGGTTGACCCACCAATATTCATTCAACCAGATCTACACGCCGAACATCTGCCTTCAGCGTGTCCGCTTTGCGTGTCAGTCAGCATAAACTGTATTTACAATTGGAAACCAGTTGTATCGACTTTTACTGGAGAAAAATTGGATAACCTGACAACAGCGTTGAAAGACATGAATTCTCGTCCTTATCTCGACACTGAGGTTGTGCATGTGACTTGCCGGGGGAAAACAGAGTAAGTTAACGTTTTTCGTTTTCATCTTAAACTCATTTTGTTTCAATTCTCTTATTTATTTTAAGCAATGATCGTGCCATAATGGACGGAGTGCTTGTAAGAGGGATACCCGGATATATTGCTTCATTCTTTCCTTGCAGGTGAATGATGATTTTTTACCATCCCAAATATTGCACGTCAAACTAAAGAAGATTTGACGTTAGATTAAATTGTTATTAATCATTACTCCTTTTATGAAAAAAAAATTCTATTTCCTAATCTCATACTTGTATGCAAAAATTAGAATGAGAAGAATTAAGAAGTCGCAAAGTCGTACCACTAATTTTTTATGAATTTGAGCTTAGTTTTAACTGTCTGTCTTTGTTTCTAGCTCTACTGAATAAATTGATTATTCTTCTCATTCTCTAATTTTCAACAGATTGCAAACATATATAGTAATTATAAACTAGAATTTGATTGCTCAGTTTCTATCTTTTATTAAAAATAGACTTGTCAGATTTCAGAAAGAAAACGATGAAATCAATTATATATCAGTTGAAGGCTTACAGTGTGCTATGAAACGTTAATTACACACTTTAAATTATACTAATAATTCTTTTTTCTTCAAAGATTTGTTAAAAAAACAATAATTTATTTTAGTCCAGAAAATCAGGACAGTCCTGGAAGATCTTTCATCTTAGATTTCTCAAAAACTCAGTTGGCGACCAATCCGGTAGGATTTAGAATATATTTAAAGGGTCTAGGATCGAATTTGAGCCAGGCCGCTGAACTGCTTACCACCGGAACAAATCTTGAATCATCGTTCAAGTAAAATATTCATGAGGATTTGAATCGGTGATTCAGGTTTTGAATCGGCGGTAGGTAGTAGTTGAGCGACCTCCCCAATGTATTCAATACGGCCCCTGTACACGGTATATCAAGTGACCATCCATTTATAGAGTAGGGTATGTTCCAATTCACAACGGTATCCTTTTCAGCTTTGTCGGATCAAGTTCGAATTTTTTCCATGTTTATAGATTAGAAAATTAATTATTTTCAATTGTGATTTCTCAACAAAAGTGCGCATTTCTACTGCAGGATAAAAATGTTGGAGCAATCAGAATTAAACAGAACAATCTGGCAAAGGTTTCAATGGTATCGACGAAAATCGGACATGTCCCACTTTTTAATGGAGGGTTACTTGAAATAAAAACAACATTCCCTTTAAGATTATATTTCAAAGAAAATTAATTAATATACAGTCTGAGCTGAAAACTTTAGAATGGGGATATCGAGATTAATGCTTGATCTCCTCTTTTTCTTAACATCCAGACTAAATAATGATTGTTCTCCCTTGTTATTAATCTCCAGATTAATTTACATATCGGGATTTAGGATATCCTATTCTAAAGTTTTCAACTCTGATGTTTTTAAAATAAAAAATAAATTTAAAACTATTTGCTTTAGGAGGCCAAGAGTTTGACTTTTGACTGTAAAGCGTTGGCGGATAATATTGATAACTCTGAAAAGGATATTTATAAAGGAAACCCACCTGGAGGGGTTAGGTTCACATTTGACACAACAGAAGTAAAATCAATAGTTGAAACATCCAAATAGAAAATACTCTCTTTTATAGTAAAGTTTTGTTGACTTTCTGTCTTGTAAAAATTGTTTGCGTGATGTTTTTATTCAAAAAGATTTATAAAGATCCTAAATGTATGCTAGTAATTAGTGAAAATATATATAATACAAAATTGGTTTATCTACCTCTCTATAGCCAAAAACTCGTTAAAAATGATCTATTCTAAAACTGCTTGCATGCTTGGATTAAACGTTTTCAAAGACAGCTATCTAATTTGCATTTAAAGGAAAATCATGTAACATAAAAGTCAATCTTTTAATGTCAGAGTAAATTTAAATCTATGCAAGAAAAAATTGTTCTAATCTGAATAGATTTTGCAAAATAAAGGTTACATTTAAATAATTTATGATTCGAAAAAATCAAAATGTCAAAGATAAGATAAATCAGAGAATGGTACAAAAACACTTACATCATGCCACATTCTACACTACTTATATTCTGTTTAAGAGTATTCTTGCAATTAGCGTTAAACTTTAAACAAATGGTTAAAACCGCAAGCATGACTTTTGAGATAAGAAAATGTTATTTTTAAAAATACTGAATGCCCCCTATATAATTAAGATGAAGATATTGAAAATTGAAAGTACAAAATGACGTTGTTAAATAAAATAAAGAAACCCAAGAAGTTAAATCAAATTTGTTATTCAAGCTCAATTTAGTATATTGCAGCCTATAAATTAAAAACTGGAGGCAATAGAATAGCTAAAAGTTGTAAAAGCATTGTGTTTGTTTTAAGGAAATCATGTTATTGTTATAACCACTTAAAATTATGTGTAGTTTCTCCTGAAAAACTGAAACATTTTCGAAACTTTTTTTTTTGTGTTAATTATATTTTTGCACTTTTTTGTTACCTTTAGNCTTTCTTCATAGAGATGGAGGTATGTTACACTGAAATAGAAAGTTAGTTATTCGCGGAAAATTTATATTTCCATTTTCGTTTCAGGATAAATTTGAAATACTTGGTATTAATTAAATTTAATAAAAGTTGAATGCAATGTAATTTCGCCAAATTCTACGAGTTAAACAATTACTTTAAATTGTTCAGTAGGTTGTTAACAACAGAGGATATAGAATCAAAATCCTTAAACATTTATGCCATAAAATTGTGTAATGGCGAGAGAAGTTTGTGATTCTACATTTGTTCTTGCAAAAAAGGATGCACTTCTGCGGAGGCAGTATTACAGTACGTTAGGGCCCAATATTAGGATGCACTTCTGAGGAGGCAGTATTACAGTACGTTAGGGCCCAATATTAGGATGCACATTACAAATTGAACATTGAGGACACACAGAGAGAACACTATTACAGTACGTTAGGGCCCAATATTAGGATGCACATTACAAATTGAACATTGAGGACACACAGAGAGAACACATATTGAGGTAATAACTATAGAATTAACATTGAAGACAAACATTGAGGATACAGCACTAAGACGCAAATCCAAACCTCAGCATTTAGGACGCACATTAAGTACACATTTTGATAACACACTGTGGAGGACTCTCATCAAGCGCACATTGAGGACGCATAAAAAAGTAGTTTACTATGTACATAAATATGTATTAATTGTAGCTCTATATAATTGAATAGTTTAGTAAAATGTATTTTATTTTCATTACAAAATTTGTTTCCTATGTGTTTCTCCTTCTAAACTAATGTTTTATATATTTCTTTAAGCTAGAAGATTGGAAAATCTTTAGAATTTCTTTCACGTTGTTGTTGGTGAGGATTCAGTTGGATAAAAACTAAACCGGGTTTCTTACAATAATGATAATTAGATCCAAATTCGAAATAAAAAAAACACATGATCATTAAGAGGGAATGATGTAATTATGGAGTTTTATTTGGATTGAAGTTAAAAGTACATAAATATATATATTGTATGGATGATTCCACAATGTCTGAAAATTCATATTTTTAGGCTTTTATACCTAAAATCTGGATATCTTTCAAAATAGTTTTCTTTAAAGAGTCAAAAAAGAGAATAATGAGGCCAATAAAGTACAGTACAGTACAGTACAGTACAGTACAGTACAGTACAGTACAGTACAGTACAGTACAGTACAGTACCTGGACAAGATGTGTTTGAAGGATTTGGAGTAGGATTTATCAAGATCCTGCAGTTTTATCATTATCAACCGATCCTTTCCATCCTTAACAATCTGTTTAAAGGAACTGAATACCCGCCTCAAACTCTAATTTGCTAATCCTTATATCATTGCAATATGGTGGAGTAGGTCTTTGATATTTAAAACTATTAAATCATTGCAAGCCTATGTTTTAAGGCCGTTGATATTTCAAACTATCAAATCATCACAAGCCTATGTTTTAAGGCCTATGATATTTCAAACTATGAATTCTGAAAAATCTCATTATAGTCAAGATTTACACCTTATTGAAAAGATATTGGGATTAGAAAATTTTTATTTCGAGTGTTAATTCAGATCCTTTAGAATAAAACAAATACATTGTAGAAAGGGACTGTAAGCGTATTTTCAACTAACCATCCATGAAAGAATTAATATTTTCATGAAGGGACACTTAAAAATACGTTGACAGTCCCTTTAACTAATGATATTATAATTTAAAGTTATTTTAAAATTTATTATTTTAAAAGATTTCTTGAATAAAATTTTGATTTATACATAATAAAACAATTTGATAACAAACACTTTTTAAGTTTCATTTATCTATTCTTTATATAATATAAATACTTTAGTAATCTCTGTTTATGTGTATGTTTGTATCATTATGAACCCCTTGTTTTATTTGCCCCAAATTGTGTAGAAGAACTTCATTATAGAAGATTGGAAAATTTAAGAATTAAAAAAAAAACTAGTTTTGTTAATCTTTTTTTTTGTTCTTGAGTCCTTTTTTGCATACATTATTCTCAGGGTCAATAATTGGCATAGTGTCAAGAATCCCAAATTTTTATTCTAAACATTTGCTTTCACCAAATACATACAGTTTTTCGGTATGTGATAAGTTGTATTAAAATAATAAAAAAAAGCAAAAGACGAGAAAATTTCCAAAGTTTTCTTATAATCCCTGTATGATAGGTGTAACTTACCAGAATCCTATGCTGAGCCATATGAGCTTCAAACATACACCATGAGCTGAATAATAAATTGTAAAAATATGAATACAAAATAAGATTATTAAAGGGACTGCCCTTGTATTCAAGTGATCCTCCTCCATCCTCGATTCAGAACTTTATCTAATTAATACATAATGTGGGAGTTATCGTGTTTTTTAAGCTTGCACAGTGTTTAATTAATTTCTTACTATTGTCTCCGGTGTTTCTGTATTAGAAATCCACAAGTAACTTTAATAAAACAATCACAATTGAAAAAAAATAATTTTTAAAATTGAAAACATACATATTGGATTGCTTTTTATGCCACTATTTAAATGGATGATCACTTGAATCACGACTTCAAACCCTTTATAAAGTTGGTCCGCGCAATAAAAAAACTCCAAGCCCCAAAATATGAAAAATGCCTTTAAACATTTTTTTCATTTAAATTGAAAAAAACGTCCGAAGCATATAATGTTGAAGAATGTTGCTCAATGTATTTACAAGAAATAATCTTTATTTTAATTTCTAGACTAAGGCCTGCTTTTGAAATTATCTAATTTTAACGGGCGTATTTAGAACCTGAAATTGTTGATTGTGAATTTAAGGTTAAAAAAAGGTTGGATTTTTTATAATTTTGATTTCTTTGTAAATATATAAATTACCTATTAACATAGGATTTTGTTAGAACAAGAACTATTTTTCTCGAACTATCCACACAGTTTATTATATTCTCAACAATAGTACTACCAACCTAGAAAACAATTACTTTAAAATTTAAAAACAATTTCTACGAATCAAATAATCAAATAATAATTATCATTTCTAGTCCTATACATACAGGTTTATCCACAAAGAATAAAACTATAAAGACGACCTGGTAATTTCAAGGTTGAATTAATCTTTTAATTAATAATTTTAAAGAGAACGAAACAGGATATATCCTTAATCCGGTTCGGTTAATTAGTCTGGAGATTAACAACAATAGGAGAACAAGCATTATTTAATCTCGAAATTAGGAAAAGAAAAAAGAGAATCTGAACACTTTAGGATTAGATCGATACCTAAAAGGCTAAGAGTTCTATCTGATGTTCCTGTTTAGAGAAATTGATTATATCCAAACTTATATATATCAGATTTGATATAAGATTCTAAGCTTTAAACAGATCACATTCAGCAAATATGCACCCAATCTGAAAACGACGCTATACCAGGTTTCCTTCTATCATTATTTTAATTTAATATTCTTATTAAAATGTTTGATAGATATAATTAATATGTCCGTATCACGTCACCAGAGCTCCCACCAATGGCAGTGCAGTATCATTGCCACGTGTCTTTGTCTGTATAATTACGTGACAATGATAAACAGTATTTGTACACAAAGGTACAAAGAGCACCATTGTAATTCGAACAATTCACCCTTGAAATCTAGGGTCATTCAAATATACGTCTACAGTACAGTCCATTTCCATGAGAATAGCAATAACATTGAACGAATTTATAGTTTTTAAAAATAAAATAAATATATACTTCTAGATTGATGTATCTTTGATTTGTGATAGATTTGAATTAGTTTGAAGTTAAAGTGTATACATAGTTTCAATAGTTTCAATACATCTTTGTTGGCTTTAAATCCTCAGATTCATTCCAATATACTATCTATAATATATATATATATATAAATCTTAGAGAAAGAATTGTGCAGAGGAATAAATGTTGTCAGTACACAAATTGTTACCAATGAAACTAGAACTTAGGATAGTGCTACATTGTTTGTTCGCGTATATTGACATATCAATATTTGTTAATCAGACCAGTTATTTTTAAAATAAACATTTCTGAACATTGTTATTTAAAATCAAACTTATACTAACTCAGAAAATTTTTTTTTGCTATTAATGGCTTATAAAAACCCTCAAGTTAGCCACATTTATATTATAGTTCCATTCATGGATACACATTTATCTTGAAGTCCCGTTCATGAATACAAATTTACCTTAAAATCCCATTCATGACTAAACATTCACCTTAAAGTCTCATTCATGGCTGAACATTTACCTTAAAGTCCCACTCATGGATACACATTCGCCTTAAAGTCTCATTCATGGCTGAACATTTACCTTAAAGTCCCATTCATGGATAAAAATTTACCTTAAAATCCCATTCATGGAAATACATTTACCCAAAATCCCATTCGTGAAAACGTATTTACCTTAAAGTCCCGTTCGTGGATACAGAGTTTAAGCCGGGGTTCTGTTTCTTCGAGAAAAGGGACCAATGTTTGTAAAACCCAAACCTCTGAAAACATTTTAATATTTGTTTTTAACCCGAATAAGGATTCCAAGGATTTTAAAGCCAATCAAAGTCAGAGACTGCAAGAGTAATTTCAAGTGACCCTGCATGTAAAGATGGCAATGTCTGATTAACCTTTATCTGATCAACATATTAAGGAAGATACTGTCGTGGTCCTTGCTTTTTAAAAGTGTTCAACTTTGATCATTTCTATTTGTTTTCTTGCTGTAGAAATGCGCTACAAGTTAATTTAGAAGAGAAGCCAGATTTGAAAATAAACAGATTTAAAATTATAACATTGATGTCTCTAATTCATACTTGATCGGACAGAATTTACAGGGTACCGTTGTGAATTGGACATTGCCATTCTTGCATAGATGAAAAAATATTCACCATTGTCTTTGCTGTATGAAATAAAAGCATCATAGATGTACTCTGGATTCTGGGATACAGGGCTCCTGGTCTTTAGATAGCAAAAGTAGTGGTACCTAAATAGTTGTAATTTGTAGCTGAGTCAATGTCGTCTTCTCATCAAGGAAAAAATCCACGAACAAAATAATAGAAATCCTCAAGATTCAAGAATAAAAATTATTTAAATTAAATATTAATTGTCTTGGCATAACCTATCATATCGTATTTCATGGAATGGGAAGACGACATTTCAACAATTTAATGTTGTTAAAAGCTACTATAGTTGTAGAAAAGCTGAAATGGTTTTGTGTACTGTGTACTCTCCACTGCACAATTTCTGTGTATCTGCATGTTCAGTGGACTATTTACAATCATACCAATACCATTAAATTGAGTCTAACAGTCATCACCTATTTCACAACTTTCTCTCGCTGTTTATAAACTGTACATTAGAATAATTTGTCTTTTTGTTCAGCCTTGGGAAAAATTCCTTGTAAAATACACTTCAAGTATTTGAAATATTCAAAAAATATTTAAGATTTTATATTTGTGGTTTTGTAGTGTACATACATATCTGTCTGAATTAGGAATATAAAATTTCATTAAATTTAATTACAAATAATCCTAAAAATCTTTGACAGACATTTCAAATAATGAGGGAGGATATTTTAGAATCTTGTGAGAATCTTGGAATCAAGCAGTGATCAATCTTATGTGGATCTACGGGTCAACCGGATTCCTTTTGGACATCCGTGGTGGTAATACCCTGCAAGGATATCTTTGATTGAAGGATCAAACATTTTCCTCAAATTTAAAAGTGCCCACATTGGATATCGAGATCAAGCGTTCAAGATTAAGGAAACTCCAAACAATAGTTGTGATTGATTTTGACCTTAAGAGTTGTGACAGGGAAGTGAAATCCATTTGATACATCTAGCTAAACTTTTCAAGAATAAATAATACCCCCCCCCCAAGATAGGGGAAACTTTGCCTCTATTCAAGGCTAGAATATGCGACATGTTCTACACCAGGTTCCATTATTCTTCGGGATATTTGAGGACCTTCAGATACGAAATACAAAACCATAAAAAATCGACTAACTTCAGAAATTAAAGTATTTCTTTAAGCTTGAAAAACTTAACCACTGAATGTGTACTAGATGTTAGATGGCAGTCAAAAAGCTTTTGCACGAATAAACCATGTCGCGTCGGTACGACTACGGGCCTACTAAGCCAAGCCCTTGAAAGCTGATAAGCAGTCTTTATATGTCTAGCTTGTGCTTTGTCTTTAGCTTTTTAATATAAGCATACTAATGTTCAAATAATAAACATGAATGTTTTCTTAAATTAAATTGTAAGAAATAAAATAATTCCATATTTGCTTGTACACTGTACAATTTACAATATCACCATAGTCATTTGGTTCAAAATAATTGAAAAATATCATGACATTAATCTCAAATTTTAGAATACTAGAAATTCAAGGCGCTTCGCGCCCTTCTTTCTAGCCTTAGAGGGCGCTTCGCGCCCATCTCCTAAATTAATTGTGAACATGTTCTCTTTGTGTACATCGTAAAACAAAACAAAAATAATTCGCGGATTTTCACAAAAAATTTCGCGGATTTTCAAAATTTTTAAAAATTTAATGACGATCGAATTTTGATGGAGACAAATATTTGAAATTTTGATGATTCATAAACCTTCCCTGGAGTCCCTAGATGTCCCACAAAAAATTTGGGCCCGATCGGTTCAGCCGTTTTGACGTTTATTGGATACAAACAGACAGACAGACAGACAAGCCAAATTTATATATAGATGTAACAGTGGCAAAGGTTTAAAGGAGGACCTTTATGTAGCAGGGATGCCCTTCTTGAAAAAGAAGCTCCTACTTGAAATTACAGTCCTGTCCCTCTAAGCCAGGAAAAGTTTGATTTTGACCAGGGGGGGGGGGGGGGGCAGGAATAAAAAAGGCTACCTACTTGATATACCATCTGTATTTGTATGTAACTAGGCAAACAGCAATACTAACTAAAAACAAAAATTTGATAAAAATCTACAATGATGAAATTAGCTTAAATTTTGAAAGATAAGAAAATTAAAAGAAATTTTATTTCTATTTGTTCCTTTGTACTAGTTAATGCCAACAATATCTTTCTCATTTTAAAATAAATTCAAATTTAAATTTTTCTATTTCTTAAAATACGCTTTTTCGTTTATTTCTAAATTTTAAAGATTTAATCAATTTTTTTTCATTTAAAGATAAAAATGGCTTTTCCACGAATGCCATATTATTGACACATTTTATCCCCCCCCCCCTTCCCCTTCACTGACCTGCAAGGGATACAAGGGTGGTTGTGATAATTTGCAGTGTTAATGAGAAACCTCCTTTGCTGTTTAAAGCTACTCCTTCCTCTGATTCAACAATGGATTATTGACAATAAAAATAAGAAAAATGTGTACACAAACAAGACAGTAACAATATTTTTTTATTCTAAAATAATTCGTTGAAAATCCTGTGCGTCTACTGGTTTTAAAGAATGAGACTTAAAGAATAAGACTTAAAGAATAAGACTTAAAGAATGAGACTTACAGAATGAGACTTAAATAATAAGACTTAAAGAATGAGACTTACAGAATGAGACTTAAATAATAAGACTTAAAGAATGAGACTTACAGAATAAGACTTAAAGAATGAGACTTACAGAATAATAACATAATACACTTTTTATTTTTCAATGCTTATAAAATACAAAGAGAATTTCGTCTATAATTTCCTGATTTCAAAGCCCAAATTAATATTTTTTAATTGTAATATTTATCATTTACAGCTTTTATAAACTCTAGAATATAAAAGAAAACTTAAAATTCTTTTTTGAAGAAATTGACACATCTGGCATACTAATTGTATTCAAAAGCATAACCCAAATGAAAAGTTTTGTTTAAAGTACATCTGCAGTCAAGGAAAAGTTTTGTTTAAAGTACATCTGCAGTCAAGGAAAAGTTTTGTTTAAAGTACATCTGCAGTCAAGGAAAAATTTTGTTTAAAGTACATCTGCAGTCAAGGAAAATTTTAATTAAAAAAATCGTATTACCTAATGCTGGGCCGTTGGTGACAAAATCAAAGAACGTTTTAACCTTAAAATATAAATTTTTCTAAAATTTTAATAAATCAAATAATGACAAATAAATCATTAACAAATAATTTCTGCTAAAAATAAAACTATATTTTCCTGTTTATTTTAAAACATTTTTTTGTTTTGTATTTAAAAGTAGTTTTTATAAATGGATAAAAAATCAGGTAATAGGCGCCAGGCGGGCCTAATGGACAATACCCCCCCCCCCTGATGTTATATCGTGTTTTTTTCTTCTGTTTATACACATTTTTATCAAAAACAATACTTTTAAAGACGACATTTGTTTGCATCTGCCATTTAATGATTCTTTACCAGGGAGTAAGGAATAGAAGGGAGATATAACTGACGCGGTTCGCCCTACCATATGATTATACATGCTTTGCAGACGGTACTTCATTTGAATAAGAAATATTTGTCTGATGTACAATTACTGCGTGTACATTAACCTATTCTAAATATTTCATATACAAATTGAAGTACCGTCTGCAAAGCATGTATAATCATATGGTAGGGTGAACCGCGTCAGTTGTATCTCCCTTCTATTTCTTACTCCCTGTTCTGTACCTTGTCTTGGTCTGCACAAACGTAACCTGAAACGAAAAACAAGAATTCAATTTAAAAAATTACGTTTTTTCTTATTTTTAGCTCCCAATTTGGATTCAGAGTACATGACTTTTAAATGGGAAAAAGCCCAAGACTATTTTAATAATACACCTACTTTATATATTAAAAAGGTCTTTAAATGGACTTGCATGTTTTAAATATGCATGCTGATTTTTATCAAGCATAAGAAAATTTATGTCTACAATTTTCAAGCAAACTTTTTGCAACATAATTCACTATAGCACTCTATCCTAAGTCTCAAAGGTTATATATTCTCTAGAAATTGCACCCTTTTCCCCCCTCCCCCAGACTTCAATGGGTTAATGCCCTTTTTCTAACTATTTTAGTAATGTGCTAGGTTAAACAGAAAACATTTTTAACTTTTCAAATTTAAATGCACTTTATTCTGAAAATATATTTTGAATTTTTAGTAAACTTTTAAAAAATGTGTTTTAAAAGAATTAAAACAAAAAATAAATGTGTCGGATGTTTTTAAAACTCAACCTTCATGTGTAAAGAATGCTTTAATGAATTATTCACACAGATTTTAAGTATTTCTACATGAACCATGTATTATCTATATTTTATTTCTCTCTATACCTGGCTCCAGAATAAGAAATAAAATCATCTTAAATCTACCTGAACCGTTAAAATAGCCGACAATATGAACATGAGTGCTCTGGGCTTTCTTATAAAACTTTGAGATTAGTTGATTGCATTCAAACAGGTTCTGAGACAGGTCCAGTTCTACCAGGCTAGAGTTGAAGAAATCACTGAAAATATATCTGTATATATAAAGTAGTAGTGTATGTTTGTTTGTATTTCTGATCATAACTTAGTAACCCCAATACCGGTTTGCCTCAAATTTAGATTATGGTACTCGGAAGAATTGTGGGTATGTTTTAGTTTAGTTTTTAGATTCTAAATTTATAGGGAAAATTTGTGACCAAGCGTGGGTAAACGTGGTAAGTACTAGTACCCTGGGCAACGCTGGGTTCCCATGCTTGTATTATATAAATTTGAATAGCCTCTACAAAATATTTGAAAAAAATTATTGGAATTTTTTGAAAATCCAACATTTCCAGCATAAAAATCGAAAAAATTCAAATCCTTTTAAAGATTACTTCATGTCCTTCTTTCTATTCCACTTAATTTATATTTCTGGTTTGCAGTGTATAAATATGAGGTTTTAAATAATTTAACAGAAGTAGAGGTCAATAAGTATTGTAAACTGTAAAAGTTAAAACCAAAAACAGTTGTCTGAGCAAAACCAACAGTAAAATGAAGATATTGCCCTTTTTCATCTCAACCCTGTTGAATTCTGTTCATTTATTTTTTTGTCTCAGCTGCGTAAATCGGGAAGTCAGTTCCATAAACTGAAAAAACCTGATTTAAGATGAAAAAATGAACATCTACACTTTTTTTCTCAGACATTCAACTTTTTAAAAGATGATCACTTGAAATTACGCGGACAGTTCCTTTAACCTGAGCATAGCCTCGGTGAGTATCAAGTTTATTCCATTCTTCTGGAGTGTTAAGATCTCCAGCTGAGGTGTAGGAGGAAACAAGGATATCTCCCAGGACCTAATCAAACAGCCAATCAATCAATCATGTAAATATCTCCAGCTGAGGTGTAGGAGGGAACAAGGAAATCTCCCAGTACCTAATTAATCAGCAAATCAATCAATCATGTAAATATCTCCAGCTAAGGTGTAGGAGGGAACAAAAAATCTCCCAGGACCTAATCAATCAGCCAATCAATCAATCATGTAAATATCTCCAGCTGAGGTGTAGGTGAGAACAAGGATATCTCCCAGGACCTAATCAATCAGCCAATCAATCAATCATGTAAATATCTCCAGCTAAGGTGAAGGAGGGAACAAGGAAATCTCCCAGGACCTAATCAATCAGACAATCAATAAATGATATAAATATCTCCAGCTAAGGTGTAGGAGGGAACAAAAAATCTCCCAGGACCTAATCAATCAGCCAATCAATCAATCATGTAAATATCTCCAGCTGAGGTGAAGGTGAGAACAAGGATATCTACCAGGACCTAATCAATCAGCCAATCAATAAATGATATAAATATCTCCAGCTAAGTTGTAGGAGGGAACAAAAAATCTCCCAGGACCTAATCAATCAGCCAATCAATAAATGATATAAATATCTCCAGCTTAGGTGTAGGAGGGAACAAAAAATCTCCCAGGACCTAATCAATCAGCCAATCAATCAATCATGTAAATATCTCCAGCTGAGGTGTAGGTGAGAACAAGGATATCTCCCAGGACCTAATCAATCAGCCAATCAATCAATCATGTAAATATCTCCAGCTGAGGTGAAGGAGGGAACAAGGAAATCTCCCAGGACCTAATTAATCAGCCAATCAATCAATTATGTAAATATCTCCAGCTGAGGTGAAGGAGGGAACAAGGAAATCTCCCAGGACCTAATCAATCAGCCAATCAATCAATCATGTAAATATCTCCAGCTGAGGTGTAGGAGGGAACAAGGATATCTACCAGGACCTAATCAATCAACCAATCAATCAATCATGTAAATATCTCCAGCTAAGGTGAAGAAGGGAACAAGGAAATCTCCCAGTGCCTAATCAACCAATAATCAATTAAGTTAATATCTCCAATTGAGATGTAGAAGCAAACAAGGAAACCACCCAGAACCTAATCAATCAATAAATCAAGTTAATATCTTATGCTGAGGTGTAGGAGGAAACAATGAAACCTTTAATGACCAAAGCAATCAATCAATAAATGTTTTAGTCAATAAATCTTTCAATTAATCAAGTTAATATATCCCAGAGTAAACAAGAAAACCACTCAAAACCTAAAAAAAGGGTAGCATTCTTTTTTGGAAATCTAGACTGACAAATTCTGAGGAAGCATCCCAACCTTCTTCTTCTTCTATTTTTATTGTCTACAAAAATATCTTTTTTAAGATCTACATCAATATATCAATTCAGAGCCGCTGTAACCTTTACTAAATAGGTGTATACATAAGGAAAATAAAACTGTTTAAGTTCGGAATTTCTAGCCCCTGACTTTCATTCCTAACCATCTTGAGTAGTCAAACAGTCTTAATTCATTAAAAATGGTTATGAAGTAAGTCTAACCTGATTTTATTGCAGCCAATCTCCAAAATTTTCAAATTTTTGAAACTGCTGAAAATAATTTTTTTATTATTTTTAGATAGAATTAAAATTCATTTTATTTTGATTGTTTACTACCTGACAAATCCAAGATCAACAGGATTATCAACTGCTGACAAAATACCCGTCAAATTCAGAACTTCTTAATATATAAATATATAAAGACAAGACTGATGACACACTAAAACTATTGATAGTAATTTGAATGATGGGGTTCTTTCCAAAATAAAGTCATTTTACGATTATTCGATAAAAAAAATTAAAGGAACTATAAATGTCAGAAAAAAAGTTGACTTTATGAATTCTTATCTTTGTAATAAAAACGACAAGCATTACTTTTAAAATGGATTTGAATGTATGTTTTATTTTAAAATGGATTTGAATGTATGTTATATTTTAAAATGGATTTGAATGTATGTTATATTTAAAATGTATTTGAATGTATGTTATAGTGACATCAAATTTAAGTGTTAAGTCATAATTTAGTGTTGATAGTGTAATCTAATTTCAAGACATAAACAAACACAGATTGTTTTTAATAACAACAGACATTAAAATGTTTTCAGTGTAGAAATATTACGTCTTGTTTTTCTAAGCGGATTGAAACCCCTGACAGAAGTAGTAACTGCAGTTGCTGTTTTTTCCTCTGATTAAACAGATTGATATTGTCTGTCAAGATACTCAAAAACAAAAAAGTTTTTCACAGGTGTCAATCTTTAAATTAAATTTAAAAAATTACTTTCCTAATTTCAGTTAGAAGGCTAAAAAGGATCGAGAATGCTTGTCAGCAATATTTATCTTCAATTTCATGAAGTTGCAAAGTTTATGGAAAATCCGCGAGCATTTTTTATGAAAAACCACGAATTCAGATCTTTGAAATAATTAGAGTGAATTTTAATGAAAAAAAAACCTAAAACTAATAGAGTTTAACCCTATTTTGGAAAGCTGTTGTGCTCTACTTTAATAATCTGCATAAATATTTGAAAATTTTCAAAATTTCAAATATTTGTTGCAATATCAAGTTTTTACGGAAAAAATATGCAAAAACAAAACGTGTGCCAAATAAGATAAATTATTCATTTTAGAAAAGCCCTTAATTCAAAGTAATTCAAATATGCAAAAATATTTGAAAATTTTTTATTAAAGTAAAACTGAAAATATGCAAATTCTCTTTAAAGGTATCTATGCAAAAATCTAGGCAAAATTTTTTTTTAAAAATTGTGCAAAGCTTTCCAAAGAGCTATGAAAATGTGAAATCCAATGACCGGAAGTAGGTCTAAATATAGATTTAGTCGGGTAAAGGTAAAATAAGGCATTCAGGCAGTATACCTGAGGACTCAGTCAGTAGGTATAAAAGTCACGATTTGAGCCTAACGTTTAAGCCCTTCAAAAATTGTTAGGGGGGTCCTCGACCCCCACCCCTTCCCCCATATGGAATAGGGTAAATGAAATAGATATATTTATAACAGGGCACAACACAGAATGAGGGCAGATGTTATTATTTTACTATGCTGTACAGCAGTGGCCAGTTCACAACAAAGGGAGCCTCCATGTGCAGATGGATCCTATCCTATCTGCCCCGGAGCTTGTAAGGTGACCAATTATTTAATTGAAAAATCTGATTGTTTAATTCAAACTTTGACACAAACTCAAATTTTTTATTCCCTTTATCATTGCAACCTGATAATCAAAATCTTTTTTTGCTCTTTGTGTTTTTATATCAACAGTTTTTTTTCGTTCACTAACAAATCTTTCCATTTGCTAACAGAATTTTCCGTTAACTTTTTAAAGTTTAAATACGTAATAGCTCTTTGATATATCAAACTTTGAATTCTTTAAGATCAACAAAACAAGTTTGAAATATAAAAAGTTAATAACACTTAAAGTCAGAACTATTGTGTTGTAAATTTTGGGATCATGCGTTGATCTCAATCTTTCGTAGATCAACAAATCAATATACAGTGATGTTTAGCCCCTCCAAGGATAACTTTGATTGAGTGATCAAGCATTGATCCACTTAAAAGGGCCCTCATTGGATATCAAGAGTAACAACATCCACAAAAGTTCCGATCTTAGGTTGCAAGGACGAAGAGATAATACAGTTACAGTATTTGACGAGTCTCCAATTCCTTTGAAAATCTTACATTGTCAAACCAGCTCGTACTGACTTAAATGTTTTAGTTCTTCTAATATTCTAAAGGATGGATCGGATGCGGTTCTACCACCAGCAGCAAAAGGTGGCGCATGTGCCGACAAATCTAGACCTGACTTTAAACTTTGCAGTTGTGCAGACGGTAGCTCTTTCAGAAAAAGTAATAATATACACCATAGAAACAATGGAAAAACGAGTAAAAATCTTGAGCAAGGAAATAAAAGTGGCAGAAATAGAATGGGATACTGGAAGCACAGGAAATGAGAAGAATGTAACAATAAAACATTGTGGTGTTCTAAAAAAATAAGTTTTATTTTTTTTCTTTATTTAATCAGAATATGTTTCTTTTAATATTGAAAATAAATAACAAACAATAAAAATGTCTTTATATTTTTTATGTTTAAAAGGGACCATAATAAGTCATGCCTGCATTATGAGTCACCTAAAAGTACAAAAAAAATCCCTGTAAAAAAAATATTACAAACCTATTTTCCTATAGGAGGTGAACTCTTTTATATGACTCATATTTTCTATTGAAAATGAAGCATGGGTCAAATCCAGATACAGAAGTTTGATCGGACCCTAAACATATTTAGATTCAATAGTTCACGTGAGCCCTGAACATATCTAGAATCAGTAGTTCATGTGAGCCCTAAACATGTCTATATTCAGTAGTTTACTTAAGCCCTAAACATATCTATATTCAGTAGTTTACTTAAACCCTGAACATCTAGATAAAGTAGTTTACTTGAACCCTGAACATATCTGCTATTAGTAGTTTACTTGAACCTTGGACATATCTAGATACAGAAGTTTACTTGAACCCTTGACATATCTAGATACAGAAGTATACTTAAAACCTGGGCTTATCTGGATAAAGAAGTTTACTTGAATCCTGAACATATCTAGAAATAGTAGTTTTTGGACCTTGAATATATATATACAGTAGTTTACTTCAACCCTGGGCATATCTAGGTACAGACATTTACCTAAGTGAACCATGGACATATCTAGATACAGAAGTTTAATCCCTGGACATATCTAGATACATAATTTCACATAAACCCTGGGAAAAAATAGATACAGAAGTTTACTTAAAACCTGGACATATCAAGATACAGAAAATTACTTAAATCCTGGACATATCTAGATACAAAAGTTTACTTGAACACTGGATATATCCACTGAAACCCTGGAATGTTTACTGAACTCCTGGAAATATCTACATACAGAAGTTTACTTAAACACTGGGCATATATTGGTACAGAAGTTTACTAAAACACTGGCGGCCATATTGAGATACAGAAGTTTACTTAAACCCTAGACAAATCTAGATATAGAAGTTTACTTGAACCCTGGCCATATCTAGATACAGAAGTTCACTTAAACCCTGGACATATCTAGACACAGAAATTTACTTAAACACTGGGCATATCTAGATACAGAAGTTTACTTGAACCCTGGACATATTTAGATACAGAAGTTTACTAAAACACTGGGCATATTTAGATACAGAAGTTTACTTTAACCCTGGACATATCTAGATACAGAAGTTTACATGAACCCTGGACATATCTAGATACAAAATTTTACATGAACCCTGGAAATATCTAGATACAGAAATTTACTTAAACACTGGGCATATATAGATACAGAAGTTTACAAAAACATTGGGCATATCTAGATACAGAAGTTTACTTAAATCCTGGACATATCATCTAGATACAGAAGTTTACTTGAACCCTGGACAAATCTAGATACAAAAGTTTACTAAAACACTGGGCATATCTGGATACAGATGTTTACTTATCCCTAGGCATATCTAGATACAGAAGTTTTCTTAAACACTGGGAATATCTAGATACAGAAGTTTACTAAAACACTGGGCATATACTTAGATAAAGAAGTTTACTTAAACCCTGGGCATATCTAGGTACAGACATTTACTTAAGTGAACCATGGACATATCTACAATAATAGTTTATTTGGACCTTTAACATATCTAGATACAGAATTTTATTTGGACCCTAAATATATCCAAATACAGTTATTTACCTAAACCGGCCTGAACATATCAGATAAAGTAGAGTAAAGAGCACAAATTTGCATAACTTTTTGGTTAACTTTTTAAATTCATAAAGACTTGCTTTTTCTAATTAGATAATTCAGCTGATTCTTCCCCCGGTCCTGATGCCCCCCCCCCTCCCCCTCCGAGCCAGCCGTGCCGGCCCAGCAGCAGTTTCAACGTTTGATTAATCATAAATCAAAATTTGTTTAATCTTACACAAACTAAAATATTGGCTTATTAAAATGAAAGAAAACTGTCAAACATAAAAGAAAGATGTCATTTGACAAAGTTAGACACATGCTGAGAGAACAATGTGTAAGCTATTAATGAGTTTTGTTAGATTGTAAATTTGTAAAATATTCAACAAAAGTTGAGTAATGAAAGAAGAAATTTGAAATATGACAGAAGAGCTTTGATGCCTGATGCTAAAGACCAAAATTGCGTTTTTTAGAGTGTTGCTACTCACTATCTTCTTCAGTGCCTGCTGTCTTTTAAACTTCCTCACATCCATGAAGGAATATTTAATGGATCTTCTCCTGTATCCTCTCTCAACCAGATCTTATTCCAGATCTTCTAGTCTTTTCTTTAATAACTCTTCACTCCAGCAGATTCAGAGTGCTCTGTGCCCCAGTGAGAACGGTATATTCTTGAATACTTGAATACTTGAAGTAGTCACGCAAAGAGAGCCACGTGCGTGGCCATGTTATGCGGATCATGGGCTTTACAGGTACTTAAATCTCCTGGAAGGTCTCCATACTCCCATTACTTGTTATCATACTGAGATTAAGCACTAATAAATTCATCATATTTGTTTTTCAGTTGATTAATTTTCACTTCAGATCTCACTTCCATAGGAATGTCATTCCATATTTTTGGTACTCTTACTCCATAAGAATGTCTGCGTACATCAGTTCTAAAGGGTTTGTGTCTAAGGTTCACTGAGTTGGAGGACAGCCTTGTTTCAGGTCCTTGGTTTTCAGTATATCTCTGAAACCAATGGTTTTCCTGAACCTGGTCTTTACCATTCAGAATTTTCCATGTTTGTATTATATCTCCTCTCTGCCTGCGCTCCTCTAGGCTGGTCATCTTGACCTCCTTTAATTTCTTTTCATATGAATCCCCTTTAAGACCAGACGTCATTCTAATTGCTCTTTTCTGAACATCCTCCAACACTTTTACATCTTTGGCCATCCATGGTCTCCAGGCTTGCACACAATATTCCAAAATAGGTCTAACATAGACCTTGTATAGACTTAACCAGACTCTCTTGTCCCTATATGATATAGCTCTTGCCATCCTTCCAAGCACTGAGTTGGCCTTTTTAGCTGCTGCTTGACATTGTAGGGCAGGCTTAAGATCTGTGCTTATTATAACACCAAGATCTTTCTCCAGAGCTGGTTTTTCTAAAATAGAACCTGCAGGAGCATACCCTCCCATGGCGTAATGTGCTCCATTCTTAGTTATATTATATGATTCGGATGACCGCTTGAAGAGAGAAGATAGTTATTCTTCTTGTTTTCCTTCTTGTATAGATCTGTATGCATATAACCCTGGTCATCAACAAATATCTTTATATCTAAATAATTTACAGACCTGGTTTCATAACTATATTCAGCTGTAAACTTTATACATAGATAGTAGACTTTTCCAAATCTTCTCTATATCCAAGCCAGAGAAAAAACAAGTCAATCAATAAATTTTCTGTAAAACTCTAATGCAGTGCCAGTTCATTCTTGCTACATCATCTTATTCTCCCCCATTAATATGTTTGCATATATGGGAGCTGCCCTGGTCCCAATAGCTGCTCCCTCCCTCTGTAAATTTAAAAATATTAGAACCCAGGAACCCTTCTTCCCAGGGAACTTTAGGATACAGAGCTACAACATCCATGGATACAGGAATGGCATGAGGAAGTATAAGTCCCAAATCATTTCTCTTATCTATTTTTCTCAACAGATCTGGTGTATCTTCAATATAGCTCAGGAGTTTCTTAAATTAAATATCAGAAGAAAAAAATCAAATTTTAAGCAGAAAAAAAAGTTATGCAATTTTGAAGACACATCATTCTGTTTAGATTAATGATTCAGAATACTTCTTTCAAACTTTTCTTGCTTTTTTAAAACATAAGTAGTAGTAGTCAAGTAATAATAATTTTCTTAAAACATTCTTTAAAAAGTGAATATTTTTAAACTATTTTTTTCCCTCAATTAATGATCTGAGTTTTGTCCATTTGACAGCCCATTTTTTATGAAATCTCTTTTTTGTTTGTTTATTTTCTTGTGGTTTTTTATTATTAATTTTGATGGTTATTATAAGGGTCATCCCAGACCAAAATATATTTTCAATAAAATGTTGAACTAACATCTACAGAGGTTAGGTTCATCACCATCACCAAATTTTAAATCTAATTTCCCAAATAAGTTTTCTTAGCTCATTTGGTAAGAAATCCTCAAAACCTATTTCAATTTACATCAAGTTTTTAAGCACTCTTAAGGACTATAAGAAAACAAAATAAAACGAATAAAATTGAATATAGGCTACCCCTGACTCTTAAGAATCCCTGAGTTATGCAATATAAAAAACCTTATTTTTTTCATATTTCCAATCATAAAATTAATTATCCAATTTGTGCTCTTTACTCTAAGTTTACTTGGACCCTAAATTGACATTATGTAATTCAATATTAGTCGTGTAACCTGCAATGTGCTCCATGTTAAAGGTGTATCACTTGTACAGTAAGCTGTAAGAAAAAACAAATTTAAACACAATTTGTCAAGAGTATTTTGTTGTTGATGCTTTTTGTTACCTAACGATAGATTTCTTAAGTTTGTAAGACCAGAAAAAACCAGACTCCTGCAGTAAAAAAAAAGATTAAAGCATGATTAAATGTTTGTTTTTCAATCCTTAAATTAGAGAAATGTTATGGACTTTGAAAGTAATTGAGTCTTTGCTACTAATACATTTTTATAATCCCCATGTTTTTGCAACTAATGGTAAAATCATTTAATAATTCAGTAATAGATTTCATAGTTTGATATATCTAAAGTTTATAATGTTGTTTCAAAGATAAAGGGATTAGAGTATTAAAGCAATTACTCAATTCCTTTGTAACTTAAGATGTTTGAATATGTTTTGGGCTTATAAATCTACAGAAATAAAAAAAAAACTACAGAATTATATAAATCTGCAAAACTTATAGATCTACAGAACTATATAAATCTACAGAACTATATAGATCTACAGAACTATATAAATCTACAGAATTATATCAGTAAAAACATTAAAATGTACGATCTACAATTTCCCGAATTGAAAGAACCAAAGGAATCTTAAATACATTAAAAACTCAAATCTTTGCAATAAGGAACACATCAATCTTATCACTCGATGATGACATTGCAAGTTACTATTATCATAACTTTCTGTTATAATAATCATTGTATTTTTACCAGCACCAAATTATTTGTTAGGTTTTTTAGATTGTTTTTGCATTTAAGTTATATTACATCAGCTGATGTAAAATGTGTGTGCTCTAAGCCTCTAACATTTGCCTTCATTGAGTTGGCACCAAACCTGTACATCAATGCAAGCATTTGCATAAACGTAATGCCCACTTTACTTGGAAAGTAAAATTTTGAGTACTTGGTCAAATTTTAAGCCATCAAGGTGCCAAATCCAGCTATAATATAAGAAATTAATTAACATTACCATCTGTTTTCTACATGGTAAAATAACTCCAATAATTCATATCATATATTTTTTAAATACTTAAATAAATTTTTATTAGTTTTTGTCTCATTAATCAATAAAATGAATATGGTTTTCGATTTCGATTTTGATTTATGTCCAGCTTTTAAGCAGCATTTATTCACTATATTGATATAATCGCCGACCACACTGTACAGAAATATTACATACCAGGTGTCCCAATAAATATGGGAATTCATTGACGCATTCAATATCATCTTTTCAAATATATATACACATATTTACAGTCTTTTACCGTTTTCATAAAATTATTATTAGTAGTATTACAATGCTAATTCATAACAAGGACAATATCGAATTTGTCACTGAATTCCCATGTTTTATGGGACACCCTGTACTTCCAAACAATTATTTAAATTATAATAGTTTACAAAATATCAATTTACATAAATCAAAGGGCTAACTAAAATAATAGTTCTGATCAATAAAGAACTATAAATACTAAATAGTGTTAAACATTGTTGTTATGCTACTATTTTTTCTCTCCCATGCAATATTTTTTTATTCTTTTCCATCTTGAGCTTTTCTGCCGAATTATTTTTCCATCAACTTCTTCTACTATTTGAGCTGCAGTTTCAGATATAGCAGTTGGTTCTTTTAAGAATATCTTTCGCAATAGGGTGCTTTGAACCATAGGTACTTGTTTCTTCTTGTCTGAAGAACTTTGTTTTATTGAGACTGATTCTGTGACCTTCAGAGCAATGGAGCCTAAATCCATATCTGGGGTACTAGAGGAGATAATACTGCAAAGTTCGCTCACAAACCATGATCCATTTTGGTTTCTAAAGCATAGGTAACCTGTGTATGCTGATTTAAACACAAAAATATCTGCATAATTTGGAATTTTTACATATTCATATTTTTGTGAGTTTGTCTCCATGTTACTTGGTGTTGCAGTTGCATCAGAATAATCTTTGATTTTATTTTTCACCCAGGTTCCAGAATCAGCATGCCCCCCTTGGCATGCCTGCACAAAAACAAGTTTAGGTTTGCCTGCTAGAGATGGACAATTTTCAGCTGCTAGCTGCTCAATAATATCTTCTTTGAGATTATAACAATCATCATCTGCCCAAATTGTATCATTTTCTTCACCATGACTCATAATGAAAACAGCAATACAGCTAAGAAGAACCTTTGTGTCTTGGATGACTTTGATTTGTTCTTTGATTTTACATTTGCTCGGATCATGCAGAACAAGATCTACATCAATCTTCCAGTCTAAGTCAGTAAAGGTTTTCTTGATATATTTAACATCTTCATCGCTGCCAATTCTTTCAGATAATCTTTTATTTGTTGGCAAATTTTTGTTTGCTTTTTCAAACTTAACATTGTTAATGATAATGAGAACTTTAAGCCCTTCAGACACAGAAATATTGTATCTATCAGAATGATGATCCAGGGTGTTTACAAAAGACTGCCTTTCTGATGAGATGTGATCATCGTTAGTATTATTGTTTACTGAACGAACTGCATCTATTTCTGTTAGTTCATTTTCTTCCAATTCTCCACTCATGCTGAAATTCAAAGAAGATGTTTGCTTAAAATCTTACACAAACTAGTTCCAAAAAATGTAGTAAGGTAGTATTGCTGGAATAGCACATCACTAAATCAAGGTTATAAGAAACATTGAATTCGCATAAAATAATCATACCAAAAATATTTGCTAGAAATTTACAAATATATTTGCCATTTTTTTAAAGCATCAGAATTGTTCAATGCAATAAAATATGAACTAGGATAGTATATTTACTAAAATTTATAAATCACCTGCTAATGAAAAATAAATTTCAACAACTTTGATTGAAATGATTAAATAATTAATGCACAAAGAGAAAAAATCACACTACTTGAAAAAGCAAAAAGTTTTAATTCATAAATGTAATTTTAAATCATATTAACAATATTTAAATTGTATTACCTTTCTCTAAGCAGTTAAATATAACTGTTTCAGTGGAAATTATGACTAAAAAAGATAAGAGTTTTTATCTTTTAACAAACAAATTAATGATTCATTGAAAGAAACTTAATTACAACATCTTTAAAATTTGGCTGTGATACCTATTTTAAACATTTTTAAACTCGATTGTAGAGGTTTTTACATATTCTGAAACATGGTTCATTCCTTGAGGAGGGGAGGGGTGGGGGGAGGGGTTAAATTTAGAATTATTTGAAATTTAATAGAAGGTAGATTCATTAGGGGGTTATATCCTGTAAACCCCCTCAGCTCAATGTAAGACAAGTGAAAAATCGACCCACCCTACTATATAAAATATCTTACCATGATTTAAGCTATTAAGGGTATGAAGTAATAAAGTTGCACCCTATCGAAGTTTCACGAAATTTGTGAGTTCTTAAAGCAGTACTATGAATTGTGTAACTTCTCATCTTTAGAATTTGGACTCAGCACTGTTTTATGCTATGGTAGAACAAATGTGTCCATACCCTGCGGCCACTGTCCACACTGTTCCTCTCTAGAAAACTCCAGGCCATGATTCTTCCCTTCTATCCTGACCCGACCATAGAACAGAGTCTAAAACTAAAGAATGCGCGAATTTTAAGTTCGAGGTTAAAAGTTCTGAAAAATAATGAATAGCTACTTAAATATTAAATTTTCTCAATTTTAAATTCCCGGGAAAATATGAACCAATCAGAGAAAAGAATTATTACGTAACTATTGGTAATCAGCTGATTTTAAATTTTAAATTATTTACGTGACGGAAAACAAAACATATTTCCAGTTACAACCGTATTTTGGGTTTACGTGCAAACATTAATTAATCTAAAACGTGAAATTTATTAAATATATCGTAATTAGTTGAATGCTCCTTACCGCCATGAATGATGATAGGCAAATAGGGATTGCGGGATTTAAAAATTTTAACCCTGTGTTTAAATTTTAACTCGTCGATTTCGGCGAGTTAAATATTTAACCTCATGGTTAAAGTTCAGGTTTAAATTAAGTCAGAAGTGGCATTTCACCATGAACTTAAAATTTAAGTCAAAACTTTTCGTTCTTTAGTTTTAGACTCAGATCAAACATTGGATTCCTCCCAGCCACCGCAGTTTCAACCTTATCCGACAAGTTTTTGAACTTTTGACGCACTTTGGATGATCTTTGCCATTAGATGTCTCTTGTTAGATTTTTATCTGATAGATAGATCATCAGGACATACAAAATTGACGATGTCATCTGGTAGAACATACTCAATTCATACCAAGAATTGAGCAAAGCAAATATGCTTTAATCTCTTGATTGAGAAAACTGATTAACATTTTAAAACCACATCAGCTTAATATACATTTGTTTTACAAATTTAGATTATTCAGACTTTAGGTGCTCAGAGCTGAAAACTTCAGAAGGGGATATCCTTAATCCCAATTGATTGGACTAATATCTGATTCAACTAAAGTCAGCTGTTCACAAGCCGGCTTTTAGAGCATTTAAACTTAAATATAAATTTAATCATGTTAACCTGAACTTAGTAAAAAACATATTTTATCAGGTTTGAGGACCATAGCCATTTTGAACATTTGTCTTAATAATGATTAAAGGGAGTGACCAGCTATGTAAGGTAGTTGAACTGAGTATGAAGTGTTGTGGAAAGCTTCTTTCGGATTCATTTGAGACATATTAACCCTATCTCTGCTGGGGTACTTGAAAACCAGGATATGCTGGGGGGGTCAATTTGACCATTTTCAGAATTAGTTTTTTTTTAAATTATCAAATAACGACAACGAAATATAAAGTAAAAATTATACAGTAGTCTAATTAGATGGTTAGGAACATATTTCTCAAAAGAAATTTGTCAATAAATTAACGCTAAAATCGATTATTTTGTTTTTATTATTATATTGAATTTCTAATTTTCTTTGAATTTATTCGCAGATTTCATCAAATTCTTGAAATGTCGTCTTTTCAATAATAATTCTAGAAAATCTCCAAAACTCTTTGTGAATAAAGAGGAACCAAAATAATGAGATAATAGAAACTAATAATTGAACAAGATTACTTTTTTTCGATGAAAAGATTAATTTTTATTTTCTAAACATGTTCCTATACATGACCTCTGTAGTTTATTGTAGAATTTTTTACATTTTATGTCCAGGTTATTTAATAATTTAAAAAAACTAATTCTGAAAACGTATCCAACCCCAAAGTAGGAGTTTTGAACATCAAATTTGCGCTCAAACTCAGGATTTACAGGTCTTTTAAACATTTTATATGTCTCAAATAAATCCGAAAGAAGCTTTCAACAACACTGCATACACAGTTCAAATACCTTACATAGCCGGTCACTCCCTTTAATCCAAAACTTACAATTGTTCAATTGATCATTAGCTCAATTGATATGACACCATTAACACCAGAAATGCTCTAAAATTAAAAACCTGTTTTTCAAAAGTTAAAGAGCACATCTATAATCTCTATAAATTAATCTGAAGACTAAATTAGTCTTGAGATTAGCAAAAAGAGAGGATCAATCTCAATATCCACCATTCTAAAATTTCAGCTCTGAGAAGATTGATTCAAGGTGATATTATAAGCATTCTATAATAAAATTTGTACTTTGTACAATAGTTAAGAATTGAATTTTGGCAGTATGATGTTGAAGTTAACATTTTTCAAATTGTGAATCAAATGAAATATTTTATAATCATGTTTAGACATTCATTAAAAAACTCTGATTTATGATTATGCTTAATCTAAAAAAAATCTTACTCTATTTCTACTATTGAGGATCCAGTGAGAGATAAGGTTTCTAGAATAAAAAGTAAATTTAGAAAATTACGATTAATCATAAAATATTTTTTTTGAGAATGTTCATTGAATCAAAAGAGAAAAAACCTAAGTGTTCTTATCCAAAACAATGTTAATTAATTGAATCAAAAAAGAGAAAACCTAGGTGTCCTAATCTAAGAAGATGTTTTTGAAATCAAACCTTCAAGGTTACTTTTAGTGCTTCTAATAAACATTTTCATAAAAAAAATACCCAGCTGTCCTAACCCGAGAAGATGTTCATGGTTCAAACTCTCAAGGTTTACCGACTCCAATCTCAGATCTCTCAGATTACTCATATTCCTGAAAATAAAATGGAAAACGACTGTTGGACCCAAGTTAGGATGTTAAATGGTTCAATGAACATGACACATAGAAATTGTGCCTTTTACACAAGCTAGTGGTAAATGTGTATGAGCTTTATAAAAAACCCAAATACACATTTGTAATATTGTTTAAGTAAAGTCTTCTTAATTCCTACTGCCCAGATTTTTGAGTCTCAGTGATGTTCTGTGCTTAGAAAAAAACAATTGAAAAATAAGAAAAGATTTTGGCATAACTTTGCTTTATTTGGCTTTAAGTCATCTGCATCACAAGTGTGCAACTTAACCCTTGACAGGCGGGGGGGGGCGGCGTTTGGCGCCCCCCACATAGTTTTTTTGTCCTAGCTCTCTCATTTTTGACACAATCACCCTGAAATTTTTTGACTTTTAATGAATATTAATTTAAAGGAATTTTTGTTCAAAATTCTTTTTAAATTTATAGGGTAGGGTACAGGGCGGAAAAAAAGTCTAGTCTGTAAAAAAAATCTAAAATAGCCCATAACTTGTGAGTGCTTAAAGCTACAGATCTAAAACTATTTTTTTTTAAAACCCCTGAAAAATGCATGAAGAAATTGATATTTGTCTAAAACAAAAAAAAATATTTTTTTTCACTTTTTTGACCCTTTTTAGGCATTTTTTTCAACCCTACCTAGCACCCAAACTATTAACGTTATCAGTCCAATTTTTTTTACTATGAGCTGGCCTTGAAAAATTAGGTTAAGAACATGCATTTCAACCCTATACCTATTCTCTTAAGCCTTTTTCTAGGAGGGGGAGCCAAACGCCCCCCCCCCTGCTATACATAGATTCAGACCCCTCCGGCTTTATAGTGTTAAATTAAAAATAGTGCCTTATTACCTGGATTGAAAAATACCACCGGGGAAAATAAAGAAGCAAGCAGACTCAGGACTATTCACCTAAATAGTTATAAAAATTGCAAATTTTGTTTTTCAGAAACTTTTTTTTGCAAAAATACATAAACTTTTAAGATTGTCATTCTGACTACAGCAAGAACAAAAAATTAAATCTTAATTTAGAATTTCAGTAAATGTTAAATTTAAACTTTATAAAAAATTGACATATAAATGTTTTTCAAGTTAACACAAAAACATCTAGCTTAAAAAATTCTAGGGTTTACCCAACTTCCAAAGCAAAATTTACCAAACCATATTTTTTTTATGTGGTTATGGGGAAAATTTTGTTGGTCGGATAGAGGACGGTTGGCAAAATAGTCTATTAAGAACATCCCGAAATTATTTCTTTCATTACTTTGCTACAGGTTGAAAAGTAAGATTTTAAAGATAAAAAGAAGATTTTTAAAAGACTTTGAAAAACTTTATATTTAATGTAATTTAATTATGCATCACATAAAAAAAATTTCTTAAATAAATTCTGTTTTTTGCAATGGAAGAATGACATTAACCTGTATATGTAATGAGTGAAGGGATGGAAGGAGTAGGGCTGGAAAAAGCTGAACCAGCGGATTATTTTTCAAGGATAGAAATTCCAATGAAACTGAGAAGAAAACAATTTAAAAATTTTTAAAATTTTGTTTTCTGAATCAAACAACAAAAAGTTCTGATTCCTAATTGAACCAAAAGCAACTTAATTTTCTGAAGTCAGGAGAAGATTCTTAGTTATTATCTAAATTGTTAAAAAGTTTAAAGTTTGTTATGCAAAAAAGTTTTAAATTTCTCAAATATAACAAAAAGTGTCTTAGTTTATAAAAGTTAAAAAAAATTAAAAGCTTGTTTTATTTCTGCAATCATTTTAAATTTTCTGTAGTTTCCTAAGTTTGTGAAGGTTCCGTCTGCAACTGTAATAATCCCACAATTGTCTAGAATTAGCTCAGTAAGGTTGGACATCACAGGAAAAGTTGAATTTCCTGAAATTACAAAATTAACTACCTACCTTGTCTCTTCTGCATAAATGTGCAAATCAAAACAAATTATTACCTAGCGTGGAACCAATCTGTTGAAATAGATTATTTGCTGAAAAATATATAGTTATTACAATAAAAAATTTAAATTAACTAATGTTATGTTTTAATACTTCAAAAATTTCAAAGGGGAACTGGTTTTTGGGTAGATGTGTAAAATTGCAACTTTAAGTGGCAATTATTTGTTTGGTAATTTTTACCAAAACCTTCATACATTTCAGCATGAATAATTTTTTAACCCCAAATTTAATGAGGTGGGGAAAAATAAAATTAAGGGGGACGGAATATTTATGAGAATATCTACCCCTTTGTATAAATACCTAGATTTACTCTGACTAATGAATCTTTCATTGAGGTTAAAGAATAAGTGGGAACAAACACAATCCCATTGTTTCCAAAACCTAAATTAAATTAAATTTTTGGATAATTTAGCCATAAAACATGTTATTTCATCAGACAATGACAGTTTGGGGAAACAGCAGTTTTTGCACTTTTTAAATGCTTTAAAGAACTTTAACCACTGTTTAAAACTTTTTATGTCTGATCCACAACAGCACCCTTTTTGAATTATCAAAGTGGTAGATAATGTTGCTAGGAAAAGTAAAAAGGGTACTTTTAGGATCCAACATGAATATTTTAAATGGATGATCATATGAAATTACGTTAATATTTCTTTTTCCTAAAACTAGCTAGTGGTGATAAGTTACCTATGCTTTGTATGGTAATTGAAATGCTATCAGCAATGACTGCAAATGGTGTATAGAAAGGTGCCTCAAAACTAAAATATACAATCTTTGTACTAAAACCAGTTCAAAGAAGACTGAAAAATCAGAAAAAGAATAAACCATAATTGAGTTATAAAAATATTAGTTAAATTCCATTTCTCTCCAATGTTTTTGCTTAAAGCATTTTTAAAAGACATTAATAAAGTCTTTAACTTGTGATTATTAACATAACCCTTTCATTGTTGGCAACTCTGGAATAGTTTCAGTCAATTTTAGTTTGACAATTATTAATTATGTAACTTGAGGTGAGTATTATGTATTTTGTAACTGAATTTGTTTTCTATAAATTTTCTGATTTTAACAATTTGAAACAGCATTATCCTGAGTAAACCTTTATCATTAACTGAACTAAAAGGAAAGACAACAATCATTCCAGAATTTTCTGGTTATTTCTAAATCATGAAATATCAAAAATACTTATTACTCCAACCTTGGCATAAAGAGATCTGGATTGAAGTGGAAGTCAACATGTTCCAGAAACGGTAGATTTTCAAATGTTCCTAAAATGATTCACAATTGAGAAGAAATAAAAAGAAAAAAAAACTTCAGTTTACCTCTGATTTATCCTTTTATAAAAATCTGCGTATGTTTGTATACAATTTGTTATTTGGATCTACAGGGTGTTTTTTTTTACAATATAAAGGCTCAGAGGTCTGAATCTATGCATAGCCGGAGGGGGGGGGGGGGGCGTAGGACTTAAAGTATGAGTAAAGGTTTGAAATACATGTTTATAGCCCAATTTGTCAAGGCCAGCTCATTGAAAAAAATTAATCCAATAACTTTTATAGTTTGGGTCCTAGGAAGCTGGTTGAAAAAATGCCAAAAAAAAGGGTTAAAAAAAGTAAAAATTTATTTTTTGTTGTTTCAGACAAATATCAAGATGTTACACATGTTTTTACATCCATTATTTAAGGGCTTTTTACTGCCTTGTGCCCTACCCTATGCATTAAAAATAATTATTTACAAAAATCCTTTAAATTTCTAGTTATTAATAGTAAAAAATTAGAGGGGGGCCAGGGGGGGGGGCGCAGCCTGTTTAGACTTGAATGTAAGCTTTCAAACGTTAATTACTGAATAACTTTTTAAGAAATCTAAGTTCTATCAAAAGTTAGTAAAAGATGAAATTGGCAGTTTTAATAATCTTTTATGAAAATCCGCAAAATATAAAAAGAGAAATCTGCAAATTCATTCAACGTTGTTTTTCTTTGTACCTGGCTCTACACTACTGATCTGACAGTTCTGTAGGTTCAAGTACTTTAAAGGAGAACTGGATATGGCAGAAAAAGAGTTGTTACGAAGCACCCTAAAATACAAATTAGGGCAAAGAAGGACAATTCTGAAATTAAGCCCCTGACCGAAAAAAAAAGAAAAAAGACAGTGTTAGATAAAAAATTAAGCTCAAATGTAAGTTTAAGTGAAGTTTGGACAGGCTGAGTAAGAAAGACCATTACTCTTTTTGTCTTGATTAATTCTGCCAGTTTCATTCATTGTCTTTGTTGCATAAATCCGAACCAGACAGCTGATTTGACTGTTTTAATGGAAGGACACTTCGGAAACTACACCTTAGGAAATTGAATGCCAAACTAAGGTATTCGAGATGGGGAAGAACTTTCTCAGAATCTCTTGAAGCTTAAATACAAAAAATAATTATGTAAATTTTAAAAATCATGATTATAGCATTTCATCCTTCTTATAAACAACAATTAAACAATTACACAATCTGCAGTGATAGACAGAAAACTCTGGAAAAGGTATTTTACCAAAGGATTTTTCCCAAATGGCAACTTCCCAAGGGTATCTTTCCAAGGGTATTTTCCCAAATAGCTACTTCCCAAATGTGCAATTTTCCCAAACGGCAACTTCCCAAGTCCGTCCTAGCTGCAGCAATCGGCCCCCAGCCTGTTCTAGCCGGCCCCCCTAGCTCATCCTAGCCGCAGAGCTCAGCCTCCATTGCAGCCTACAGCCCCTCAGAGGACCTAACCTAACCATTGGAAAGTTGCCGTTTGTGAAATTTCACAATTGGGAATTTGCAACTTGATAAATTGCCACTTGGGAAGTCACCTTTGGGAAAATGCCTCTGGGAAAGTACCGAACACCTTTTCAAGTTTGTTATATCAAGACTGAACTAGATGTCGTTATCATTTTGAAAACTTATTATTTTCAATTGTGGTTTCATCATAAAAGTGACTTACGCATTTCTACTGCATGACAATATTGAAGAAATTATCCGAAGTGAACACTTTTCAAGCCAGAAAAACGTCCATATTTTCCTCACTATTTATCAGATAAAGGTTTCAACTGTCGTAAAGTCGTAAATCAGGCATGCCTCTCTTCTTAAATGAAGGGTGACTTGAAAGAAATTAATTTTTTGACAAAATATCTATCTATCTATCTATCTATCTATTTGAATCTTATAATCCAATTAGAAATCTATATGTAAATTAGCGGCAATGACTAAATGGAAGTCTATACTTATATCGAAACTACGGTATATTTCAAACTATGGATTATGTTTGCTCAAATATTATAAGTTTGAAATATCCAAGGTTTACACCGTCAGGTTAGAAAATTTGAGTTTGTGGTAAAAACTAAGTTTCTTTGTTCTTAGCTAAGAACTGAACGTTCCGTTCGTTCTTTTTAATTTTTAATTTTTTCTTTTTTATTACCGTTTTTTAATGATTAAAATATAACGGTAATCAGTCGGTAACAGGGTAACCAGTAGGGCTGGGCACGTTAACGGTGGAACGATCGTTCTTTGCCGAGAACATTGTAATGGTCCGTTACTAAGAACGGAACGGGGGATGGAAACGTTCTTAATTAAGAACAGAACAAGAGGGATGCAACCGTTCTTCAACTAAGAACGCCAAGAACGGAACGGAACGGGAAGACCGTTCTTCTACTCAGAACGGAACGGAACGGGACGGAACGGAACGAGAACGGAACGATAAAAAAAAGAGGAACGAGAATGGAACGATTTAGCTGAAGGCCCTCGTTCTAGAACGGAATGGAACGGAACGATTTCAAAAAAGTCGGAACGTGCCCAGCCCTAGTAACCAGTTGGTAACAGAATCATCCGTTAATTTTCAACAACATGCCGGTCCCTATATTTGATTGTATCCAACAAACAGGGGAACCAATCTGGTCCAAATTATCTATGGTAACTCTGCACATGTAGGGCTGGACACATTCCAACTTGTTCAAGCCGTTTTGTTAAGGGTTAGCTCTAACCGTTCAAAATAAAAAATTTCAGTTTGCCGTTAATTTAAAGGTAAGAACAAAACGTTCTATCCGTTAACAATAATTTCCTTTTTTTAAATTACCGTTAGTTAACAATCTCAATTTTACTAACGGCATTGACGGAAAATGATCTACAATAGTCAACAGCTCTAGCCGTTAATGGTACTATTTTTACGAAATTAACAAAAAAAATGTTTTAACGGTTTAAAAATCGTTAACGGAACATTACAGTATTAACAACGTTAACGGCGAAAAAAATTTGTTAATGATTTATAAACACAGAAGACTTTACCGTTTTTAGCTTTTTATTAACGTTTGTTACTGTTAATTTTTTTTAAACGGGTAATCCGTTTAGTTTACGTTTTAAAAATTAATGGTTTTTGCCGTTTGTTAACGGACTCTTCAGTTAATTTTCGAAAACCGCCGTTTCGTTAACGGAACTTTGCCAAGGCTGCACATGACCACAGGGACGGTTTTTTGCTGGTCAGAATTACATAGTGTTGCCTCAAAATAATTTAGATTTTTTTGAAACTTTTGGAAATCTGCCAATTGAAATAGGAAAATCGGCGAAATTTGTTATTGTTATTATCTTTAAAAATGTACTTTATAAAGGCTTGCAGATATGTCAGTAACAAAAAGCTAATATTATTACCCAGTAATGTTTATTAAAGCAGTTGAAATACTGGTAAAATGTAAATGACTACGAGGAAAAATTCAAACCTTTAGAGTACTCAGTGAATTAAAAAACTCTCCAGTAGAATCTTATTCAAAACTCAAATGCTCCCAATTTTGAAATGCCAATGTAAAAGTGTTTCATGCAACAAAGGCTTAAAATGATATTTCTAAAATTCAAGATTGAAAAACGACAATATATTCCTTATTGTTATTGAGATAGGGTATAATGAGTACCGCGTGAAAATCATAAATAGGACATGGTATACAATTTGTGGGTTACTTAAAATTACACCTTTAAGCCCCTTTAACATGTAAGATAAGGATGTAATAATCTATAATATTTAGATGCAGTCATAACCAGAAAATTGTGGAATAGGAAGACGACATTATAGCATTTCCGAAATGCATTTGATGTTGTTTCAAGCAAATAGCTTTACTAGTAAGTTATTAAATTACTTATTAAGTAAAATGGGTCTATTTACATTGCACAATTGCTGTGTTTCATGTTCAATGTGCTATGAAATTTCATTACTTGAGTTTGAAAGTCGGCTTCCTATTCCAAAGTTTTCTGGTTATCACTGTATATATGTTAGCTGTAGCTGGCTGAACGGCTGAACAAAATTGGGGACATAGCTAAAAAATTAGAAATTTGAAATTTTTCTTTAACAATTTGAATTTACAAAAAATGTTTTTAAACCTCCACGGGCAACGCCGGGCACATCTATTAATGTATTTAATGTTACCTAATGTTGTTAAATTAGAATCCTCTAGAATAAGATGAACAAGTTTAGAGCTTCCAGAAAATAGAGAAAATATTGTTCCATCATTTTCATCATATTCCCAGTTTTTTACATTATCGTTATTCCTACACATATTGTACACATTATGTTTTATTTCATTATTATTTCGGGACAACTTGACTCAAAGGTTTGTAAATGCAATCTTGCCGCACACAACATTAATATTTATGTCAAGTGTACAGCTGTACTTAAAAGTCGTCTTTGTTCTGTAATATCAATAAAAAAGTGTACATCCAAATGGTTGTGAAACTTGTAACCTTTCCAATATTTGTTATAACTCCTAGTTTTATCTTGACATATTGAGAATTAGTTTTGGTATTGTTTCATAAATTTAAATTTGATTTAAAATCATTTTATTTGTGTAAATTTTGAAAGTACATATTTTGGAATGGCTTGATGTTTTAAGAATCATACTTAAAAATTAGGTCTAATAATAAAGTTCATGAGGGACACACTATAGTACTAAACTCATGAAAAATCAAAAAAAAAACCTTTTCCATAATTTTCATTATTAATTTTTTCGACTTTATTTATTAATTTTATTTTTTACAATATTAACCTGAAATAAAAATACTGGAGGTTTTCCAGTCCTTTGAAAGAATTTGCATGAACATTGATTAAAGCCTTATTGTCTTCAAACAAGATGTACGTTGCCATGTTTCCTGCCAGAGCAAAATTAGGAATCTAAACATTTCAAAAAGAATATGAAAAAGAAATTTTAAAAATTCATGAAAATAAAAATAAATTGAGGTTTTACCACAAATTGTGATTTTCTTCTCCCAAATAATTGAGAACATTTAAGACTTTCTATGGTGTTTACATGTCTTAAATTTCAAAACAAACTCAATATATTTTTTTTAATTACTCAGAATTAAGGCAGAAAAAGTTTTTCTTTAAATGGTTTTTTCCTTGTTTATTTTATTTTTATGGTCAGTATAGTAAATTGATTTTGATTATGGAATTTTATATCCTTTTACCTCAGTTATATTCGTACTTTGAAAAATAACGGTTGAGATGAAATCTGGAATAGAATCTGGAATCTCTAAAAATAAGAAAAAATACAATATAAGTTGAACATATCCATAATTTGAACTGATAAAAAACAAAAATACCCTTTGTTGAATGTTGAACCTTAAAAAAGCCATGGAGATGAAATATTGACATTCTTTTAAGACTTAAGATACTGTTCTACAGGGTGTCCCAATAAACATGGGAATTCAGTGACGAATTCGATATCGTTTTTTCAAATAATTCTTTGGTTTATTATAGTGATACCTACTGAGAAAGCTGTAATCAGTAAGAGTTTCGTCTGCTAGCTTTACATTTGGTTTGTTTATGTTTTGACGGCATACGGTCGTGCTTAGTTAAAAAAGAAAATTGCAGTATACAAACAGATTAAACTTGTCCGTCTTCACTGTTCATCTTGCGGACTCCAGCAGACAAAATAATATTATGGCTTTTGAAATTAGGTATTACAATGCTAATTTATAACAAAGACGATATCCAATTCGTCACTAAATTCCCATGCTTTTTGGACACCCTGTACAAGATTTTCATTTAATTTTAATTTTCAAAGCTTACCTTCTACGATTTCTGAACTGCAAATGTAACTGCTATTTTCAAAATATTTACATCCTGAACATAATCTGAGATGAAACACTGTTGTTGTAGAGAGTACACCTTTTTAACTTGATCAGTACATTTGAAAGTTACTGAATAAAATTGTTTTGGTAAAAACATCCTATAAATAAATATTGGTTAAATTTCGTCTTAATACTCCACAGTTTTAAGAGGATCACTGTATAAATTGGAAAGCATAAGTTGCGCAGCCTTTTTTAGGAACTATTTGGCATGAAAAGACGACCTTTCTTAGTCCTCTTTCAACTATCAAGTTTAGTGTAACTTACTGTATACTATACATGTACCTGAGCAGTTAAGATTAATAACTGGGGTTGGCGCAAGATCATAGCTTGGTGTTGTGTATTCAGGGAATTCATCATAAGAGTTATCTGAGTCAAAACTTTTAACTTCATAGTCATTTTGTGTAATAGCATCATTTCCAGCATTCTTGTCTTCATGTAGGATTTCTAATTTATCGGGGTAGGAAACCTCATTCAAATTCCTGTGTATGTACTTTAAAGAACATGTGAATAATTTACCTGTAACCCTACACCCNATATCCAGTTTAAATATTGCTTGTTCTCCACATGAATTTAAACTCCAGAGAAGCTAATCCATCGGATATCTGGATATTTCATTCTAAAGTTTTCAGCTCTGGTCACTGGGGTTGTGAGTTCACAGTTCTTTAAAAAAGTTGGTTCCTGAATTTTACAGATTCCATGGTTTTCTGTTCTGGATGTTTCTTTTTTATCGCATTTATGATTTCTTCATTTTCTAAATGTTGAGAAATTGGTTGAACAATATCTTCAGAAAAAGCTTTGTTTTCAGTAGATTTGTATTCGTTCACTTCTTCTCTGTTAACTTGGTTTACCATGCTTTTAGGTTTTCTGTACACTTTGAACTTGTTGTACTCTTTGTGCTCACTGAACTCCTTTAAATTAGGGTTTCCATGCTCTTTGTACTTCCTGACCCCGGCAAAAACCGGTTTTTCAAAGAAGTCAACTTTAGTAGTTAATCCGATGTGTGTTGATACTGCACAAGACACCAAGAACAATAAACTCGAGATCAGTCTAAAAAGTAAATTTGAAATGGTCTAATTTGGGAAATAATTTATCTACATATATATATATATATATATATCTATACAAATATATGTTTTAGA